CGCTTAGCCGTCGAACCGGCTAGTATGCGCCGACATTATTCCGACTGTGTTCGTTTCAGTAGAGAACTTGAGTGAATGTGGAATCGAATTGTCAAAAGCGGCCCATAAATTCGTCATGTTCGCGCTTGTGGTTACCCGCTTAACCGACTGCTAATCTTTTTAAAGCCGCAGTCGTTTCGCAATCGCAATCGGCCGCGTTTGCATATATTTCAGCCTTCGGCAATCTTGTCTAACGCTTTATCCTTTCGTTCACGCTCGCTTCTAACCGTTGAACGTTTTTATGTCGCGTTAATGCAGCTTGGATAATTTTGAATATTTATTAAATAAAAAAATATGTTAATTAAACATATTGATTTTAAAAATGTACGTACGAAATTTATAATATAAATAATAAAGTAATTTTAACATACACTAATATACGTAAACCGCAAATATGTATCGCGGGATAAATTTTGCGATGTCATAATTAGATGCAAATCAGTATTTATACAAGTAGATTATAGAGAATACAGATGATCGCTGTATCCACGCTGGACGTATGTTGCTAATTTATCAGTTGGGATCTGAATTCACTAATTGCCGCGTTCGCCGCACATGATATTTCGTGTAGGACAAAAGCAATGGCTCTATTCATGACGTTAGATTAATGACAAACAGATAGACCGGCAGACACTAATGAGTCACTAGCCGCGCGCGATTCGAAGCGCACCGATTACATTTTATACTCGAAGAATCACACATCGCCTTAATAAAAACCACAGGAACAGGTATAAAGGAGTTTTAATAGAAATACACGAATCAACCGGATGCTTATTAATACTCGTGTTGATTAAATTATTAATTATTTTTTCTAGAACGCGAGGATAAATGAGGATCACTCTACTACCGAGAGATCAAAGATAGAAGAGTAATGATCGCTCCGCGCGCACGAAATCGCAACTGTATATAAAGACGAGACCGGATATAGCGAAGAATGACGAGTGGTGTTATAGTATCGAGAATTGTGCTTCCGCTTGTCAACAGGTAGTTGTCCGGTCGATGCCTCCCCTTGCCATTCTCTTTTTCTCTCCTCGATAGAGAAAGGGAAGGCAAGAAGACGAAAAGCGTACAAGGGCACCGCGCTAACGAGACGGAAATTATACACGGAGCTGAGCGAAGAAACTGTTACGACGTAACAGGTTATTTGTTCAACGCGGTTACATCGCATCATAGCGCTCACTCGCTCGCACGCACGGTGGTTGGGAGAACGAACGGGGGATGGAAAGCGGAGCGAGAGAACTCCTCTCGATACTTTTCATCGACAGGTGGATCCTGTCGAGTACCGCGCACCGGCTGCGCGCGGGCCGCGCACGAGACGCGTGCCTTCGGTGACGATTTGACGATAGCTACTGCTGCTTCTTCCTGCCTTCTCGGGTTCCTCGTGCTCTCGCGTAACCGCTGCTTCCTGATTATGTAGACTCGATACATAAGTCAGTAAAACCACCTCAAAGAGCGCCGAACAACCGCAGCCTCGGTAAAATTGTGACGAAGCGTATGATTGCGCGGCTGCGCGATAAAAGAAATTTTGCGACAAAGTAGTATTTAAAAATTATTGCTTAATTTATCATCGCACATCATCGTTAACTCAGTTAGACCGGGAATAATTGAGGTCTAAAGCCTCCATATTTCTTCGTCGCATTTGCTTAACGAACGCAAGGTCGTAAAATCTATTGCGGCCGCTATTTAAAGAACATTTACTCGGCGATGCGCGATAAATCGTGGAACCTTTGTCAGGCGCGGCGGCGAAGGGGGAGGACAGGCCTGATGCACCTACTCACGGAGGCTGATAATACGAGTCCCTAATAGGTTGACCACATAATAATACCGGCCGCGCGCGGCGACTGCGGAGTGCCGCGATTAAGAGAACGAACGGTTCCCCGGTCCCACGTCCCGTTTTCTTTAAGGCTTAAGTGGTTGCGTGAAAAACAGCTAGGTAGCATTTAAAATTAAGCGCGAGCATAAGAAGACTGAGTAGTGGCTGAAAGCTGATGGAAGAACGAACGAGAGTATCCGGCGAAAGAGACGGAAGGATGAATAAAAGTGCTCAAGAAAGATGAGGCAATGAAATGTGCGTATAATTAATTAATGCGACAACGTAAAGTGGTGTGAAATTTTAATTTACGAATTTATCAATTAATTTATGCAACGATGTTAGAAACTAATTAATTATGAACATGCGATAGAATATATTTTTACGAAAATTACGGTCATCGAACGCGTGTTATAACGGGTGCGCAATTCCAAAGATTCCAATGAATCTCGAAAGAAAGAAAGAGACTCATCAATCTCTAGACCTCGTTGCGCTTGTTCCGCCAATTACGTTACGACAATGCGACGTAGTGGACGATAAACAAAAGGGTCTGCACAGACTTCTCCCCAACTCTTCCCAGAATGCATCAAGGAGGAAGCGCAGAGAGCAATTTAAACTGAGAAGAAGACGCATCTGCGAGTGCTCGACGTGGTCTTCGACAACTTATTGTTCAAAAATGTGCATTCGTCTCAATTTGAAAGCACATACGTGTGTGTACTTTTATAAATTGTCGAGTTTTAGATCGATAAAAGTCACAATCTTATCTATCTACGTGTAATGCTTCTCAGATTACAGAAATATCATGTGTTCATTCTAGTTTCCGTTCGGTTACGCATCGAGCATTACGATTATAATTTCATACAGAACAGACAGATCATAGTCGCGATCGCGTTAATCACGAAGCAATTAAGATATTAATTTATACGACGCGGGGTTGCTCACGATTCGCCGCGGAAACAGTGTGATGCGTCACTTCGTGCACAATGTTTTTTAAAGTGATAAAGCGAGCAGCTCGGGGCGTAATGATCGCCGGCAGAAGTCGTTGCCACAAAATAATGAGACCGTTCTACTCCGGAGAGCGTGCCTGTTCCTAATCTCAATCGGCCATCAAATAACACGGCACGACTACCAGATTTTTCTTCCTAAACGAGAATCCCCCGTGTCCGCGGCTTAGATTTTATCAGCGGCGAGCGTAGGCTCCAAACGAAGTCACGACGATCCCACGAGCGCGTTATATCTCTTCCCTTCGGGGTGGTATGCGCTATTATCAGCCAATGCAACGCGATCGATCGATCGATCGATCGACTGACGAAGTCGACGGCAATTAACGTTCGTGTTTCCTTATCTATCCCGAGAATCTTATCTTTACGTATCTTTAAAAAATTCCTACAGCAACAACTTTCCAAATTGTCCCTTCATTGTTGAAAAGTTAAATTCGGAAGAGAAAGTTCTATTCGACAGAAATTCGAAGAACTTGTTAACAGCCGGGCTTTTTCTTTAATTTGCCGCGGCGTTATAAGAGCGCGTTTCATTGCGTCAATCGCGTGGGTTATAATGTTGCGGAGCGCCGCCGAGGACTCTGATTAAGACTGGTAAGCGCAACGCTTTTTCGCGATAGGTGATATCCATCAAACGGAAATTACAGCTTTATACGCGGGAGCGAGCGCGGGCGTGGAAATAAAGCAGAAAAAGCGACATCCCCGCACGCTTGAGGTGTTGTCCGAGTCCGCGTGCGAAACGAGCGCGCAATCTTTTCTAATTATCTCGTTCCACAAGCGGGGATCGCGAATCGTAATCGGATATGCTAATGGACACAGAGGAAACACAACGATGTCGGCCGCGTTTTTATGTCGCTGATGCGCGCCTGCCGGGCACCGACGGTACCGATGCGTCCGCGTTCGCTCGTTGCAGGTGTGCGACGTGATGCAACAAATGCGTGCGGCGGTAACGAAAATCGCCTTGAGCGACTCTCGGCCGGTGGTGGTGATCGTCAACGTGTATCGCGTCTGTCTATATTAGTGGCAGCTAGACAATTTCTTAATTATTGTGCAATCTCAGTGTATCGCAATGAAATGCGGAAGTATGCAAACAAAGCAAATCTCTCCGAGGCGTTTCATCCTCGATAAAAGTGTTTATAAATCAACCCATATAAGTATAATATAAATTTTCAGTACTTATATTTTTGGAATAGTAATCTCACGCGGCTTACGCGTGCAACATTCGATGATGAAAGTGGAGGTTCGGCAATTAACTTTAATTTACTTCGCGGCGTATCTCCGCTTAATCGCGGCACGACATCTCATTACATCACACGACTACCGAATCCAATTGCTCGTGCGCGAGCGTGTACGTTTATCTCGACGAATGTTTGTTTTCTTTTTTCGCCTACCGAGAGAAGAGGCGTGCTTATGCGACGCATCCTTGTGCGCGCGTTTCGTATTTACTCATTCAGAGAGAAACCAGTTTTCGTCGCACCGCGGTGGTCTCCGTCCGACACGCCGGTGCAGAAGCAATCGTCCGGAGCGGCGAATCGCGCACGAACGAAATAAATAAGTCCTCGTTGCGAAAAAGGCAACCTGTCCCCGTTCAGGTGCGAAGCGCGGCGGAATTTCAGGCTGATTTGCACTTTGATTGGATAAGAATGGCCGTCGTAAATCGTCGTAAATCGAAGAAGCGATCGTGCCTGCAAAGCGGATTTACCCTTTTTTTCTCGCTCAAACATCGGGACAAGGATCATCAGAATCGAATAAGAACTCGGGTGTCGATTTTTATTTTATCTGCGCAAAGTGCCGCTGCGAAGAAGGATGCGCGCGGATTCGTTTACGCAATAATAGCTCCGTGCACAACGCGGCGACGGCGTAATCCAGCCAATCTTACGTCCGCCTTGACACTACTAACATTCGTCAAAAATAACTCACGACCGTCCACAATTAAACGATCGTATCCCCCCCGACCTCAGACGATACGCGCCGAATTGATTCACAGTTCGTACAGATGAATAAGACAAACCGACCATTCATCGCTATCGCGTTCTATTGTTCTCAGAGAAATGATTAATAAATTAATTATAATTTCGCGAAATTTTATCCCTAAAAAATAAGTCATTAAAATATTTTCATCTCGATATCAATTGTGATAAATTAAAATAGCATATTAACAATTTTGGGTAAACACTCGCGGGAATACCAAGAATGTGTTTTGTAACGAAAACAATTTAATTTCTCGATGCTGCCGCGGAACAAATTAAGATTTATCGATTCGCGGATACGTGCCGTTTCTATTGGCCGAGAAAATGAACGAAGCGCGTCATAGCCAAAACATTTCTAAAATAGATCGCACGTCATAATGCGTATCTGGGTCATATTTATCGTGCAACAAAACATTTTGAAAAAAATCGGATTTGGAAAAGTTTGGAAAATTTGCCGAGCTGAATAGAAAGCTATATTTTAATATAAAAAAAAACATGTAACAAGTACTTGCGTTAAATTCTGAATTTGTAACTTACATTCTAAACACATGTGCATAATGTTTGGAAAATTTACCGAGCCGAATAGAAGGCTATATTTTAATATAAAAAAACATGTAACTCGCGTTAAATTCTGAATTTGTAACTTACATTCTAAACACATGTGCATTTGTCGAGAGAACCAGATCAGTCAGATGCATTTAAATACGAACATGTTTCACACATTTCTTTCAGCCTGCGAACGAGTGTTTTCCCATGGGAAAACAGCTTCCGTGGACTACGAATCTACTTTGTCCCTCGGCACGTCGCAACTGGACTGTGTCACGATGAATCGTTCATTGTACGTCGCGTCGAGGAGTCAGTACTTGCGTAACATGTGGGTTCATTCTAAGCCAATCTCGATCTAATCTCAATTCTACGTAGTTCGAAACAAAGTACCATAAGTGATAATGACGATAAAGATCAAAGTTCTATGTGAGCGTGATCCATTTTGATAGGATAATCGGCGCGAGATTGTTTGAAAAAAATATGAGGATAAATGTGATAAATCATTGAAAATTATTTCATTCAGCCGGTTTCGATTCAGCTTCAAAGATACACGCACACGCGGGCGTCCGCTGCCGAGATTCTTCGGTGAGATTCGGCGACGTGTAGCGAGAGGCTATTTATCGGCGAGCAATCTTGCCGGACATTGTAAATGCGTTCACGTAATTCAGAAAAGTACGTGTCCGTTTGGTATCGCATCTTCGTTGTCTGAAGCGACGGCGACGGTGCGGCGGAAGTACGTCGTGATTCGCCACGACGCCGGAAGCGATGCACGTGCGCCGTCGTTTTTGTAATTTATTCTGTTGTTTTCCCGGAATCCATTTAAGGATGGCGCTAAATGTTCGTTATCAAAATGCCGTGTTTGTTCTTCGCCGCCCGAATTTATAACGAAATACTTTAAATTTTAGCAAAACAAACTTTAATAATAATAAAAAGCGCGACGACTATGACGGCAATTATTGAGCTATCGACGATGTACACGAGCGAAAAATGGTGCATCGGTGCAAAACCGTTTAATAAAGACGACCGTTCTCGTATTATAACTAGATTTATTCACGCTTCGATAAGCCTCATTAATTCTCCACTTATTCGGCATGCATTCGAGGAAGAGTTACGAGTGATCTCGTGATTACGCGATGCGGACACGCCGGGTCGTTCACCGATTCCGCGCGATTGTTCTGCCAGGTCAAGAACGACGCCAACGCTGCTTAGAGTCGCGTTAAGCCGTGCGCACGTAGGGATCGCTTCACACCTTTCAAGAGCCGCGGATAAAACCAGTCGGTCGAATCTTACGGAACGATCTTACCAACGAAGCGAGCGAGGCGATTCTGATCGAACGGTGATAAAAATCAAATAATCCTACACGAGTATCTTCGTAAGACACGCTGTCGCGAGGCATTCTTGCGCGATGCTCGCGATTGTCAGAAGCGATCGCAGGATTCGAAGATCGTCGCGGAGATGCGATCGCCGATCGTTGCCCGCATTTTGGAGAACGCAACGCGCTAACTTTTTCGGGACGAAAAAGGACAAGCCTACGGAACACGCGTAATTCTCCCTCTCGTGTGCTTTTCTCGAGACCCCGGGGTCAAGAGACGATTTCTCTCTTTCTCGCTCCCCGTTTCTCTTTCTCCGTCCCTCCGCCTCGTCACTCTCTCGCATGTCCACCGTCGTCTGCTCAGGAAACCATCCATTACGGAGATCGGTCGGCGTATTTAGTGACAGTGCGGAGTGCGCGCGACGAAGTACCGAATCAAGAAAAGCCTGGCCAACCGAAACAGACGTCGGTCGTGTACCGTACTCTAAAACCGTACGGGGCCCGATGACCGACGACGCGTGTTGCGAGAAGCACGGAGGAACGACTTTCGTCCAACGTGAACGCGATTTGTAAGTAGTATAAGTAGCGTATTACGCGTTCCAACAGTGCAACGACGATCCGCTATATTTCGTTACTCGCGTGCTTACGAAATGAGTTGTACCTTAAATACGCGCGAGACGTACTAAAGTATCTTCTTACATGCAAAAGTTAAATCGGAGATTGACAGAAATTTAATGTCTTAAGGAGAGATCAATGATTGCATTGGCTCTGAACAATTTTATTCTTTGTTGACAAAATAAAAATTAATAGCTGTTTTCCTCCCACGTAGAAATTAAATCAAAGACTGATGAGAATTGAAATTGTATTTCTTAAAATGAGATGAATGATTGGCTCTGAACAAGTTTATTTTCTTACAAATTTTTTACGAAATCAAAATTAATGTAAATCTGTAAAATTACGGAGCACATATCCGTAGAATTCGATGATCAAGTTTGATTTTCATTACAATTACTATTAGCAGTAATTAAATCAGATACGAATGCATCGCGACAACGGCGTGATTTACACATCTTTTTTCTAGTACTTATGGATATAAGGCGCGCTCTGTTCCGTTAAAGCCCTCGCGATTAAAAAAGTGTTCTAGCTTGCTCGACGAGCAGATGTTTCGAGCGGAGGGGGACGAAGAGCCTACCAGGGTCTCAAAGACGCTTCCCTGAAACGAAACTTGTGGCGGCGCCGCGGCACGTAAAATGAAATGAATTTTGAAACACGAGCGACCCGGTGTCACGCTGGCGACGATTGCAAAAAAAAAATCCGTTTCCGCGGTCTAAGGATCGTCTCTTCAAGACGCTCAGTGTTTCTCAACGTAATGGAACTTCCTCCTATAAGAGAATACCTCTCTTATCTAAATGATTAAATATTTGTTTTGCAGCGTACATAAAAATCGGATGTTTACTCACATTTCGACAAGCGATAAATAATACAACTTAAAGCTGTAAAAGCGATGATTCACTCGGTCCATCTCGGTTACTGAACATTGTTTAACATCTTTATAACTCAATATCGAAAAATTCTTATTTTATACTATTCTATTTCTTATTGTTAGACTTATTATTCTGTAACAAGTTCTACTTAACTAAAAAGAATGATGCAATTTATTATTATTTGTAATGAAATGAATGAGTCACTAATAAAGAGCTGATAAATCTTTTACGTTTTCTTTACTATGTAAAGATAGGGTTTATCGATTGAAAAATATCGATAAAGAATCTATTGACTGAATCATCGGGACTAAAATAACTTTCCAATCAAATTGAACATATTATCTGAATTCATCACACGTTTTGATTCTAATAAACAAATATTCCGTTCAATAAATATTCACATCGTGCATACACTTCCACATTCTACCGATCCCTCGTTCTCTTTCGGAAGCACCGCACGTCCCTCGTGTCTCTTATTATTCACGCCGATGGTGTGGCACGGAGTATCTTTAAATTTCTTACCTTGTGTCTCTCATCTCGCGAAGTCATCAATGATAGCGGAGTATTCCCGTCGAGATAAACCAAAGGAAGACTGAATGCGTGAATATTCCATGAAGTTTTCCTCGACCTTGATCACCACGTTCCACCATGTTGAAAAACAAACAGCGCGTTGCGTCCTCCAAACGTAAACACTGGCTGACCGGTCGACTGTAGGGAATAAAAATAAAACGATAAAAACATAGTAGTTTTTCACTAGCGCAAAGTTGTACGCCGTACATAAATATTCTAAGAACGCACGCGAGCAATATTTTTCTTTCACCTCCCCTCTCTTCCTCTCTCCTCTCTCTCTTCCGTACTTTGCTGCTCGTGGAAGCGTTGCACGTTTCCCAATGCGTATCGCTATGCGTATCACGGTATCTCTATCGCGATCATGAGTGACGAGCCTGATGTTAGCACTTGCGTTGACCAAATACGGAACGAATCCTTTGCCACCGTCGTCTCGCGAAAAAAGATTGGTCGCGATCATTTCGCGATCGATCATTATTATGTAGGACGAGTCCATTTTGAGTCCGATGCTACGATCGCGACGAATCCCTCGGGACGCTATCAATATCAAATCGATCGAGCCTCATGGATATCCTAATGCAGCGCTCGGAATTAGTTGCACATTTCGGGCCGATTTCCAAGACAACGCCTTCTATTCCCCCACTATCGCTCGGCCGCTGGCGGCCGAGCCGCCGATAACTCTAGCTCAGGAGCGTTTTATATTAGAAATAGGCTTGGATTGTTTAGGCATCTTTCGGGAAATCGTAACATTTTCTTCACTACATAAATAATGTTTATTTTTATTAATACATAATATATATATATTTAATTATTAATGAAAATAAACATTATTTATGTAGCAAAGAAAATATTACTATTTTCTGAGAGGTGCCTAAACAATCCAGCCTATTTCTAATATAAAACGCTTCTGCGCCAGAGCTATCGGCGGCTCGGCCGAGCGGTAGTGGGGGAAACAGGAGGCGTCGTCTCGGGAATCGGCCCGAAATGTGTAATTAATTCCGCGCTGTCCTAATCTAATCGATGATTACGCTGGGAATGTTTCATTCATTATTTCGACGTGCCCACAAGTACCGGGATACGCATAGATCTTCATTCTTTGGCGACACAAGTGGTATAAAGTTTTCGGGAGAACGAAAGATAGAAGTTTCAAATAGTACCCGCGTAGTAAAAATATTCGTTTGATCGTCCACACAGTGATATCCGTAAAATCGGAGAACGTACACTGCGACGAGACCACCCACGTATGTATATCGTTTGATTTCGTCGCGACGTCGACGTTATTAACTTGCCTTGCACGACCCCATGGGGTTAAAACGGATACGTCTGCTAAGCGGCTTATTTTTTCGGGGGCTCGGCACTCTTCCGGACGCATACAGATAATATCTTGGAAAGAAATCACACCAAGAGTGGAAAAGCATAATGCGGAGCGGCGGAATATCTTTAAGTTAGCTTCAGAATATCGAAAACTTTAAACGCAAAGGAGTTACAGGTATTGTAGTTATATATATTGTTTACATCTACATATTTTATAACAGCAATAGAAATAGCTCAGAGCCCATCTTTTTAATTTAATATAACAATTTGATATTTAAGTGGCGCGATGATCCTCCTTTTCCTGGATTCATAACCTCTAAAGATTATCATAAAATATCTCGGCGAGATCTACGAGATGCCCACGAAGGAGTGTTTCTGGACCCTCGACAAATTGAATGAAATCGCTCCAACCTGTTTCATCACGGAGGCCCACGGTCCGACAGATACGACCACCCATAATTATCGTAACGTAGGTCCGGGACTTGATGGTGTCGACGGCGGCGAAGATATAATTTAAAACTCGATGCTCATCACGGTACTTTTTCCCAAAATTTTAATACTGACATTCTTACACTGTCTAATCGTGCACGCATCATAATCGTCACTACTCGCGATAGATAAAAGGCGAAATAATTAATTGAAAGAGCAAAAAATGACCTGTATATAGAAATCAGGGCAACGTAATGAGCTTTGAATTAATTTAACCTAGTTCTAAATTGTTTGCTATTCTTAAAATTGTTATTTTATTCAACTTTTGAAAAGAATTTTGTTTATATTTTCATAAATAGAAAGAGGAACGAAATATTCAGGGACAATTTTATTTTTAAGTTAGGAATTTTGAAATGCTTTACGGGTTTAGCAGCTGCGCAAGCTTTGTTTCGATCCCCTGCTGATGAAATTGTCTCTACTGAAAGATTTCAAGCGCACAAAATATCTTGTGCTTTAAATTATAGGAGTGAGAAAATATGGTGCGTGTATGGTGCGTGTATGGTGCGATTGTGTCGATGGGTACGAGGGCGAGAAAATACGAACTCGTATGGCTTTCGTTAAGATGAGAACCAGACGCGTATTCTAGAGTTCAATTCTCGGCCAAAGCCTATTATTCTTTGTAAGATATCATGGTAGTAAGAAAGAGGAAGAGTGGTCAATAACGTAGCATACCATATATTCTATTCGATGAGATCGTACCGTTCTCGGGCCGATTTATGACAATCCGCACGCGTTCCGCGCCGATTCAGAATAAGAAAAATTTACCGCGGTCGATGCTGATGTTATTTTATGATAGCTTTCATGAACCGGTTCGCGATATCAACGTTTAAACTCTGCTAGTGTAAAGATTTGGAGTGCATGAGTGAGATCTCGTTGAACGTTTTCACACACATTTTACAATCGATGTAATAAGTCGGCAAAAATATTTTAAGTTACAAAAACAAATCGTAAAATATGTTTATAGGATTAAAAGCTCGCATCTGGTGCACTGGGAAAATATTTAACTTTGTATAGTCCTTAAATTCTTCTCAAGACGAATACATGAACGTCGGATAATAATAAAGCAAGTTTCATTACAATGTTAAATTTTAATGCTATCTTTTACTTGTAAAATATTATAGATCGTATATATTTTTATTTAAGAAGATATATACCATTATCGTACTTTGATGAGCAAAATTTACAAGGTTACTCTTAATTAAATACAAGATTCTACACCGTTGAGAAAATGAGCGTCAATTTATAGTGAGGTTAATATCTTCAGATGCGAATGCAATATATGCGCGCTTATAAACGCGAACGAATACGGCGTATAAACGACGTTCCCTTTTATCGAGCACTAAATTCTATGTAATATTAAATTTGCGCTACACAAACACATTTATACGTATCATACGATGCTTTCGTTTTCGTCGTGGTGACATTCCTCGATTAAAATTTGCACCGGAGATTTCCGGCTTGAACTGCAACAGCGATCGTAAAATAACTAATAGTGAAACTAGAATGGTATTGAATATCTAACGCGTTTATCGTCCACAAAAATTAAGATCACGCGGTTTGATTATTCGCAAAAAATTACCTTATCAAAAAATCTCACACGCTTCTGAAACTTACATTTCATCGTAATGCGTATCGCGTTGAAATATGAAACGTTTCTATAATAATATTGGCAACATGTATTCTAAATAATTTATTTTTCTCCTGTCAGCTAACAAAACACGTGTATAAATTATAATAATCGCGTTTTCTGCGAAAGAGAAAAGACGATTGCTCTAATATATTGATAAATATATAACATAATAGATGTGCTCTTCAAATTTTATATTTTATAATTGCCAGAAAATTGTTCTTGTCGCGACGATCTGATTCTTATATTTTTCCTCTTTGGCCGCAAAGTATCAGATTCTTTTCGTGTAACATTGTCTGGAAAAAAATGTGGCTTTTCTCATGTTTCGCATACTCTAGTGTCTTCTCTCGTTACGAACCTTTTTCTGCCTCGGATGCAACCTTTGCTTTGTAGTCCTTTGAGAGCGGTGAAAGATCGATGAATCTCAACGCGAATGGGAGTGCGCGCATTTCTCTTCGACGCAACAGGTGACGTTGGGTCGACCTAAGGAGAAACGTCCCTGGTATCAAAAACCCAAAAGACTCTTCGACCACCTGAGGAACGGTCAATTATCAATTGTCGCCTGCTGAATTCGTCGTTTTCTTTTTTTCGAAATTTGTAGTGGTATGTATTACATTGTGTATTATATTCCAAACTGAGCTTCTCTTTTCTCCAGGTAGCGGAAAACTGTGTCCGCGTGATCGTTAAGAGGATGGTTCAAAGAAAAACAATCCGCTGAAAGACCACACTTTCGACATTTTCAATAATCGTTAAGCACAGCACTGCAAAAACAACTGCAAGACGTATTAGATGTCTAAAAGAATTATTGAAGAAAGTAATATTATGGATATTTGAGGTAGCGCGTGTGATGTTGTTTTGTTAAAGTTTTGTCTAAATATTAAATTAACTGTGTATGTCAGTTATATAATATGACGTGAGGAAAATTGATTGATGCGGTCCTTGTCAGCACAAATTTGCGATGACGATGATTTTCGAGACGCGTTAAAAGCAGCGAATACGTCGTTCTTGGACGAAAAGCACGTGCGTAAAGCAGCGCATTGGCTCGCGCGCTCTCAGGGCTGTATTTCAACGTGATCGTGTCTAAAATCGTTGGTCGGTGTGTCCTCGGCGAATGCATGTGTTTTCGGTTTTTGGCTGTCGGCCAGTATCGAGAAAATTCTCTTCAGGAAATGGAGAAAAAATACGGCGAGGTCAGACGGCCGAAGAAAAGAAGAGAATACGGAAGGGAATGACCATTTAATTCTTCTGTCATTAATACCGATGCAATCGTGAATTTATTTTGATCTTCGAATAATTTCTCGTCGTCGAAAACATAAAAAAATTTTTTACATTTACATGCTTCTTTGTCCTGGCATACATGCGTAGCAATAAATCAATTTTATATGGTTTCAGGAAGTTATCCATGCCGCGATTACAATAACTGCACATGTCCGGTGTCGAACGAGTCGAAATGGCAACAAGAATCTGGTTTGTCCTCGGAATCTTCGCTATTCTGAACATCGGACTTGCGGAAAAACGAGTTATTCGATTGCCGTTAGGTGAGTAAAGATATTTCATTCTTATCATTTTCATATCTACGTACATAGAAAAAAATTATACAGCTTCGATTATTTATTAATAGTAAAACATTTCTTGAAAATCTATATATCACTTGCGAAGTATAATAAATTTTAAGCGTCGCAAGATAGAGTTGCAACTCGGAAATTAATTCGTAGAACGCACAGCTATTAATAGTTACATCTTGAGATCTTGCAATTCACGGAAACGCTATTAGGTATGACGTTTTTCTAAGAATAATTGCAATTAAAACTGCAAGGTGGACACGCTGTAAATATTTTACGAACATTTTTTTAAACAAGAATGCATAAATTGCAGTAAAAACTGAAATTGTCGCGCAACAAGATGTTCTTTATTATCTCTCAGTCAATTTATTTCTTTTATAACGGTAAGTCCTTTCCGGTGTAAAGTCGCGAATAAAATTCATTTGAATGAATGCCACGAGACGCATTTGATATGCGGTTGTGGCGAGCCGAAGATTTGTAAAGGAAGTCTGCATCATCATCCGGCGATGTTCCGTGGTATTTTCGTATTGAAAAAGGAATAAGCGAGATGAAGCGTGGCTAGTGCGAATTGCTCGACGTGAAAAATAGCGCGAGGAAGAAACAACTCGACAAGGAAGCTAGTAAAAGCAAAGAAGCAAAAGCGGAAGTACGAACGAAAAGAAACAGCGTAGACTTTAAGATGCCAGAGAAATACTTGCAACTCGAAAAGCGATTAATCAGCGATATGATCTGATTACGCGTCGAATGATAAAATATATTCTGCTTTCACATTAATTTAAAATAAAAAATTTTTTTTAAACTATTACTCTTTGTTCATCCAAAATATTACAGTAGTAGAATTATAGTAAAGTTTCGTGTGTAATAACGTTTTACGACATCGTTTTTATTAGACATTAGAGTCGTTGGCACGACATTACATTTCGAGTTAATGAAACACTTACGCTACGTGGTGGAATTTTGTGAAATCTCGTACCGAGAAACGTCGACTTTATCGAGCTTTCACATGCCACGTTTAATCCTAGTTTATTTCCAGTCACGTCGCTCTTAGTAGCTTCGTAACTACGACTTAATTATCGGCGCTTGCATTCTTGGGAAACTTGGTCGTGCACGTTGAGAAACGCCGCGCACATACGTTATTATCGCCACCACTTAATTCGTAATCGTTGGCACTTTGTTGCAGTCGTTAATGTTTAAAGAGAGCGTGGCAAAGCATACTGCATTACTGGCTCGGTCGCCAAAATTATAAACCGAGCACACTTCCGAAAACCGCGACGGAGAAAGTACGGCAATTAATTAGCATCGGCGTGACGATAATTATATCCCGCGCGGACGTAATTACCAGCAGCGTGCGCTGCACGCAACGATCGTTTATCTTTGCGACAGTTTCGCGTAAGGGGATCGTTTATCATCAACAACGTAACATCTGAAATTCCGGTAATCTCGATCCATTAGGTTGATCGTCGAATACTTGCGAACATCGCTCTCCTTCCCGTCCATCGTAAAGCATTGCGTAATACCGCGATATATTTGACGGACGACGGGAGAGTGGCACGTGGGCATCAGTTTATTGTTCTAAACAATGGAAATGTCGATTTCCACGAACCGAGGATCTGCTGGTCAAAGGAGGCGAGAAAGGCGCGGTCGAAAATTTTGGCTCGCCACATCTGGCGAACAGACACGGCTTTGTACACGGCGCTCTATGGTTTCTACTATACTATATTCCGTAGTTGGTACGTGCTCGAAAGTGGAGATTTCGTTAGAATTTCGGCGACCACGTGCGTAAACGCGCGCGACGCAACGAATACGGGATCTCATTTCGGCGCGACGGAGTTTAAATGTCGGCCGACGTAGATTCACATGCATATCGTCGACCCGGAGTCTCCGTTGAAACATTTCCCCGATCGCGTTTGATCACCCCCGATATTCGCGCGGAATTGATATTTCGGTAAATAAATACTACACGTCGGTGAGTTGACGAAACACGGTCTGTGGCACGATATGCGTATGAACGTTATTATGATTGAGCTCAATTGTCCAATTGCCCGGTCATTGAATGCCGAGCCGGGCTGCGAAGCCGCTATTACCGAATCGTCAGCAACGATACTCTCCCGACGATGGTGTACGAAACGCTATTTTCTCGGACTAAATTCAGAGTGCGGGGGCCCGTCGCGCGGGAGCGACAGCGATGAGAGCCGCTGCCAATCTTTTGTCTATTAAATGTATTCAACAGCGTAATAGCGGCTGATATTACCAATTGGACAATGAAAGAGATGGCAGCGAAACGCGATTTATGGGGAGGGGGATAGTGGAGGATGCCCGCCGACGTGTACGCCGAGAAGGAGATTTCGCCAAGAGACCGACGGTCTTGCCAGTCGATCGAGCGTCACTCCGTTTTTCCGTTGGATCTCTGCCCGCATCCATACATCTCTCTCTTCCTCTCTCTAGTGCAAAAATTAGAATCGTCGGAAAAGCATGTCTTGAGGAAGGGGTGCAAAATTTCCGGGGTCCGAAAATTGAAATAATGCGGAAATTGATTGTATGATTCTGCTCTATTGTCGGCGATTCAGGTTCGAATGATGCCTGAAACAAACTTGGCGTGTTCGTTGAAACAATGAGCGCTCTCGAGTGACGTTCCTCAGACTTTTCCGAGAGTCGGACGATTCATTTCAACGTGTAATTATGCGATTAAAAACTCCCGACCCGTCAAGAATCCCGACGTTTCCATCTGCTTTCTCTCAGTCCGTGAATCGTCCGCTCGTCCTTTTCATCCCTCGTTCGCTTCATTAAAAAAAGAGGGTTTCCAAAATGAAACGGCCTTAATTAGAGCATCGAGCCGGTTCTAGAGACCCGGTATTTTATTAAGACGATACCTTAATGCGAACGGACGATGCGTTAACATGTATAACAGAATGCTTTTTGATCCTGTGTGTCTCCTCTCGCTCGATTTATCCCAGACTGCTTTTTATCCAACGATCTCGAATTGTTGCATATCGGATCATTTGCCGAAATGAAGAGTTTCGATGAGACAAACGTTTTGCTTTTCCTGAAAGAAAAAGATCGAGCCTTTCAGCCATGAAATAATAATGAAATATCGTTAACTGGCTGAAGAATAAAAAATATAGACTGTTGTTAAGAAATTGTTATGAAACGCGTTTTCTTCTCGTCGCTTCGTATTTCAATCGCGATGCCTTGAGCGCACAAAGAATTTTTGGGGAAAAATGAAGAAATATCGTTTACCCAGATAACTGTTCTGTGAAAAACGGTTGTATAATGAGAAAAAGAGTCGCATTTTAGCGTTCTAAGTGAAGAGAGCGTGTCGCTCGCGTAACAGGCTTATCGTATCTCGAGTTTCTTCTTTTTGTCGAATCATCATCTCACCGCTTAGATCCACCGCTACATCAAGACCATCGTGCAGCATGAAAGAGATGTCTTTCTCTCTCTCTTTCTTTCTCTCTGTGTATCCCTCGTCCGGAGATGAAGACGCTAAAAGTTGGACGCGTGGGATGATCGTAATCCGATACCTCGGGGCACTTCTCCGAGGTCGAAATCTTTTCTTCGCGTCGATTTTTCTTTGTTTTCTCGGTCGCTAGATCTAGAAAATACATTAGTTTCGTTTACAAGAATAAAACTGCCAGCTCCGACTTGATTTCTGTCCACATCTAATATTTAAGCTTTTTATCGTCAGTTCAATCACACAAGTGACTCATACGATCTGTTTCTGTTAAGTTTTCAACATTATTTAATTTTACAAAACGTTTATGTTTCGGCACTGTATCGCGTTGACTTTTTTTTCTGGATCATTTTATCGCGAAGAATTCGTCGAAAAAATCTCAAGTAAAATGTTTATCTTGCCAACTCTTGGAAAATATGTACATTTTATTTGATAATTGCAAAATAACAGTTTTCCAAATATTTTTCACGTATTTCTCGGAACCATCGCTTTTGCATAGCGTTTAGTTTATTTTCGTGAAGGCGATCGGCAAAGTTGTGAGCAATTAGAGAAACGTAAATCACGACGCATGGTATTCCTGCGATCACAGCATCTTACATCTTGATGATTCCTGGCTATTTCGAGCGAAACGAGAGATCTGGTTCCATTTGAAGCGAGCATACAAGCAATGTAAAACGACTCGTTTCATCGAATAACACCAATGTTCTTGCACCGTCAATTTCTGGAAGCATCTTAATGAGGCGCGTTATAATTTTACTTGACCTGACAGTTGTGTAAGCTGATCGTGGAACGCGATCTGGATCCGCGAGTCGTCGAGATAATGCAGAGACAGATCGATATAGAGCTTCTTTTGAATTTCTAATCTGGCGCGAGTTAATTTGCGCGTACGCTGAAATCGCGCGGATCGCCACGTGAAAATATTTTTGGCTCGACTCCGTCGGGAGCGCCGACGATAATTCTATCGGCCAACCTTGTCTCGTCTCTCGAAACGAGGCAATTCGCGCACACACTGTCGGTACTCGTAGAATCGCTCGTTCACGGACGAAGGCGCTAAAAGTCGAGCCGTCCGCTGGACTCGCCTTATTTACGCGCGTTCACAGCATGTCGCGAGAGGATAATCGAACCGGTAACAATAAATCGGCTTCGGCGACTGAAACAGATTTACTGTTAGCGGTTCGCTGTCGCTGCTCAATGCGCGTAAATTAAGATGTAATGCGTCGGACGTGCGCGTCGTGTCTGATAACTCCGGCCGGTTTCATGCCTGACGGATGAATTGCCCCGGCGCGGCTGGTATCTGCAACAAAATATTATTTACTTTGTATTCGAACGATTTTATCTCCGGTTGCGTACACACGAGCGAAACACGGCGGTTATTTATGAAGCTGTCCGGCACACGGAAAACCGGTCGCGACGCGATGCAGCGTAACTCCGTTTGCGCCTCCGTTTGCGCGGAAACTTTGATAGCGATTTACGAGCGGCACGTGCTGCTATCGAGAGTCTCGCCAAGAGCCCGGGAGAGAACCCGCTTCGTTAAAAAATCCGAGCCGTTATTGAAAGATTATACGGCGCTGTTTGTCGAGACGTAATGCATGGAGAAAAGAAGGGACTTGTTGACTAAGTTGAGGGAAATGCGGTCGTTTTTTTTTCTGACTGGCTGTAACTAACGTTATACACACAAGCGCGGCGAAGAGAAGCGCTGTATACGTCAGTTGGATCGTACGGTGTGTCACGGTAAAAATGTGCGCGTTTCAGGCGCGACACGGGTAAATAAACGATCGCTGACGTTGACAAAGCGGGGATTTACGCGCAGCCGTTAACAGCTAATGGTCTGAAACAGGCAAATTCGATATCGGGATTCTGATTTGTTATGAGATCAATTTATTTTCTTCTTAATGTACGCTGAGAGAGAGCTCTTTATTTACACCACTGACAGTAATATTTTTGGATTTTATGTACATAAAACGCAGTAAATGAAACTCTAGTCGCCGAGGAACTTGTTGGAAGAATCGCAAACACGTTGCACTCGCCAGTATTTTTTTAGACATTTTTTGCGCTGCCTAATATACCTACGTTCTCCTCGTCGAGTAAATCTGTGCAAACATTCACGTATCGGAGCTCGTAGTACGACCGAAAGCTCCGAGACGAGAGGTTGCCGGAGGCAGAAAGGGAGGAAAACAACACCGGCAGAAGTGGCGCGAAGCTCTTGAAACGTTTAAGGCTATTCCTGGCGTCTGGTTCGAGGCAGATGGCTCGCTGCGAACGCTACCGAGAGGAATCGATCCCTGGTTTAGGTATCGATCGAACTCATAATTCAAATTCGGCGCTATGCCCGGCGCAGTTTGACGATTCCGTGATTTTCGAACAATAAAAATAAGAAATCTTTTATTTGTATAAAAATCTTCTACATGTACACAGAGTGTCTCGGACCGTTTAACAGCAGATTCTTAAGGACATTTGGAAACGTAAATCTTTAAATACGGATTTGATCTGGAATATCGTGTATAAAAATAATCTACAAAAGATAACAAAAGTTTGGGATGGAATTAATTTCAACAGGCGTTCCGCAGAGATGTTAATACGTGATCGGAGAAGCACATTTGTACTAAATTTTGTACACCGAATCGCAGCGACCGATGCCACGTGCCTCGCATCTGTGGTGTCTCCCGAAAAAGAGCACAGCGAGGCGCCGACGACGACGAGCGACAATAAACTCGATCGATTTCCGCCGAGGGCTCTCGCGAGACACAACGGCTCGTTTGTGCGCGAGAACGCGTTCGGCGAGGATGTTTAAAGATCCGCGAAAAGAAAGCTCCTTCAAGCTCGGATCTTGATTGAATTAAAGTCTCCTCCCGGCTTCTCTCCTCCTCGCGTCTAGGGCTCAAAAAATAGATCTGCTGAATAAAGACAAGCGGGAGAACGTTGATTATTGACTATAATCCGAACTTGGTATCGATTTGGAAGATGAAATGGCAGCTTGCAACTAAATTTTCACAAATATCCCCGAAATTTGTGCGACACTTTTAGATGAAGACGCGTTTCGTAGTACTATTAGTGGTCGTAATCACAGGGCGATGCATAGGGGGAGGGGAGCGACGGCGGCGGGGGGTCGCGGGGGGATAGCTCTAAATTTAGTACGCGACACATTCTGGGGACGGGGGAGGGGCAAAGAGACTCCAGATGGAACGTCGGAAGGGACAGTGTCGCGATTCACTTCTGGCCACCTTCCAAATGGCGATACTCCGAGGTCCGGCTGGTCGGTCTCATGAATGAGACGCGCAGGAAAATGAGTTCCCGTGATCAAACTGGTGCGAATATCGCGGCGGGCAGAGCCGACCGAGCCGAGCCAAGCCTCGTTTCGCGTTGCTCTCATTAGGCGCAACATCCATCGCGACTTCCGCGAGCTTCTCCCGGCGGCGATTATTATAGATCGTCGCGTCGACGGTACGAATCGATGCGAGGCGACGGGCGGCGGCGCGCGTCCCCCGCCGTTAATTCCGAAAACATCGCGAGTACTGACAACTAAATCAAAAGTATTTAATATATCCCGCGACTAATTTGTAATTCGTCCTGAACGACGCCGTGGCGAATTGCGTTTCATTTTTCTGCAAAAAGGTAGGAGCGCCTCTGCCTTTAGGAGAGGCAGAGATTGCACGATGCGAAGGATGATCGATCCGACAAAGCTACAATTTGTGAGGCAAATTGCGAGTTTCGCTTCGCGCAGGTGCGAAGCAAAATGTACAAAGAAAGGCAGAATAATCTCGGCGATAAAAATCCCGCGTCTTCTTATCAACATCTCGTTGCGCGCAGGATACACTTAGACGCGTACTTGCTGTCATGTTACGTCCGTACGACGCATAATGAAACACGTGATTTTGAATGTTGCAGATACAACGGATTCCGTTGTTGCGGTGTCCGTGGGTGAGAAGCTCAACTTGCGCTGCCCGCAAAATTTCAATGCTAAAACAACGTGGTATAAGAACGAAGCGTTGCTGCGGCCAACCGCGAAGATACGCCCGAATAAGCAAGGTTTGAACATCAAATACTTGGAAATGGAGGACGCGGGAGTCTACGGCTGCAGGCTGGAATCGAACGACACCGTCGAGTGGAGAAACGTGACCGTTCGCGTCGAGGCCCTGCAGAACGATGGCTTCCAGGATGAAGGCGGTGAAGAGCCGAGCGGCGCGATAAACGCGTTCAGGGCGGAAGAAGAGAGCAACGATCTCGAAACCGAAACCAGAAGTAAGTTTAACCGACGACCTTCTTGTGAATTTTAATCAAATGTAACGCTTAAATGTCGCATTGAATTTAACTCCTGCAATCCTAAGTGTAACACAAAGTGCGTATTGTGCGGTGCGTAAATTCTTCCGCGTTTCTTCCGCAGATCTACCGGAGACGCGGTCGTTGCACTTGGACAGCGAAAAGATGGACGCCGACCTCGACGAGAAGAGCGAGAACGATGCGGAAGGCGAGCACAACGCTACGGTGCCGGAGAGTCCGCCCTCCTTCAACAAGACCGACGAGATGCACGCGTCGGTGGTGAAGCCCGCCGGCAGTACGATGCGATTGAAATGTCCGAGCGTGGGCAATCCCAGGCCCAACATCACGTGGCTGAAGAACAACGAGGAGCCTAGGCGGGACCTCGGCGCCGCGATCAAAACCAAGTGGACTCTGAGACTGGAGGATCTCGTTACCAAGGATAGCGGGAATTACACGTGCATCGTGTGCAATCATCTAGGATGCATCAACCACACTTTTAAAGTCGACATAATCGGTGAGTGGATGCATACGTTCGGCTCTATTTTCTATGCAAAGTAGGCGATCGTGCGCCTGCAACGATCTTGCGCCGCGTGCGTTATTACGCGTACGCGTCGGCACGAGAAGCGCGTTCTGAAGGTCTGCTAACAAAACCGCAGAGCGTTTCCCGCATAAGCCGTACATCAACGAGGACTTCCCGAAGAACGTGACCGCTCTCATTAACAGTACCGCGATCTTCCGGTGTCCCATTGTATCCGATCTTGAACCGTATATACAGTGGGTCAAGGTCGCCGAGTATCCGGGTGATCAAGAAGACTCGCCGAAAGGGACTCTGCTCCAGGTACAGCCGCCATTTATCGCGGTGAAGGGTCCTGGTTGCGGTTCTTCACTAATTCTTTTTCACAATTCGTTTATGCGACGTTTTATCATTGTGCTAACTGTCAATGGTGCGGGGTCGACTAATCTGTGTTTCTGAAAAACTTCTCGAAATGGCAAAAAAAAATCACACAATTTTTACAGGCGCTGCGGCTTGGGCGAAAAGCACACTTCCCAATTGCAGAGAAAAACTTAATTATTTTATCTTTCAGCACACTTTGTCTACGAAAGATTTCCGTCGCTATATTTGTGGTTACGGGTCTTCCTATTCCTCGACTGTTATTCAAAACTCGTCATATTGCACAATTCATTTATTTTACAATTATTTAGGTTTAATAAATAAATTTCTCCATATTTTTTTATTTTGTAAATTGATGCGTTCTCGATACGAATATCCACACAACTTGGCACAGATGAACTCTCTCTCTCTCTGTGCATTTTTCGTTTGTCTTTCTCCGTTCGCCTAACTCGTGAACGTTGGTTAAAACGGTGGTTGGGTTTCTTTTTCTCTATAGAGGCAGTACCGCATCGACCGATCCTGACGAGGCCGCCACGAAATAGCACGGTGCTTATCGGAAGCAATGCTAGTATGATCTGCCAGGTGCTCTCCGATGCGCATCGTCATCTCGAATGGTATCACGGTTACCATACCTCTTTCGACACCGTCAACAAGACCAATCAGAGCTTACGGGTGGAGGTCAAGGTGGGCGCAGCTTTTGCATGTTATCTCGCCGTCTTCCCTTTCAATCCGCTTTCGATCTTCCCTTCCGATGGCTTTGAATCCAAACCCTTTGCACATTCTAATTTAACACGTCTCTCTTTCTCTCTCTCTTTCTCGGCACTTTTAATATTTATTAAATAAAAGAGCGATCTTAAATATACGCGCAAATGTATGTAAAGTGTTACAAATATTGCTGCCGAATATTGCTGATGCAAAATCAATGTTAAAGGCGCGATTAACAATAGAACTTTGTTCGCCATAGGCTGGAACGGAGACGGAAAATCCGGAAGAACTGAAACTTTACAATGTCACTGAAAAGGATGAGGGGTGGTACACGTGTATCGCTCAAAATACTTTAGGAGAAACGTTTAGCAGCGCTTATCTTCGTGTCGTCGAAAGTGAGTATTGCGCAAACTTTTCATAAATCCGAGTAAATGCAAGTTTATGTAAATCATAATAATATTGTAAAATCTATTCAGCGCTGGACGAGCAGAGAGTCCCGTTGGCAGCAAGACCGCAGATCTTGGTGAACGTTCTGGCGGCTATCCTATGCGTGTTCTTCGCCGTGGGTGTCGTCGTGGTGATATACATCTTCCATCGGTTGAAACGCGAGAAGATGAAGAAGCTGCTCGCCATAGAAACCGCACGGGCAGCGGTTGTGACGCAATGGACGAAGAAGGTGATCGTGGAGAAGCAGAAATTGGCGAACGCGCAGAGCGCGATCGAGGAGGAGCTGCTGATGCCAGTGGTGAAGATCGAGAAACAGAAGTCCACCGTCATCGCCGACGACAACAACAGCGACAATGTGTCCGAGTACGAACTGCCGGTGGACGGTGCGTGGGAATTGCCGAGGGATTTGTTCACGCTTGGGAACATTTTGGGCGAAGGAGCCTTCGGCAAGGTCGTCAGGGCTGAGACGTCCCAACAACGGTTGAACATCGGCAAACCTGGAGTACCCAGCGTCGTTGCGGTGAAAATGTTGAAAGGTAAAGCGAGTCGAAATGTAACGCTATTAAATTCACTAGGAAAATTTATGTATTCCATATTTCATATGCATCTCTATTCGTATTTCTAGAGGGTCATACGGATACCGAGATGATGGACCTGGTCTCCGAGATGGAGATGATGAAGATGATCGGCAAGCACGTGAACATTATCAATCTACTGGGTGCCTGTACTCAACATGGTCCTCTGTACGTCGTAGTGGAGTTCGCTCCTCACGGCAACCTACGAGATTTCCTCCGAGATCACAGACCTTCGTCAGGATACGAACCGGCTATCGGACAAGAGCCGAAGCAGCGAAAGACTCTTACGCAGAAGGATTTGGTCTCGTTCGCTTATCAAGTGGCACGAGGGATGGAATACCTGGCTAGCAGGAGGTGTATACACAGGGATTTGGCCGCCAGAAATGTTCTCGTCAGCGATGAATATGTACTGAAGATCGCTGACTTCGGCCTTGCCAGAGACATCAATTGTCACGACTACTACAGGAAGACAACGGATGGACGGTTGCCGGTGAAATGGATGGCCCCGGAGGCACTGTTCCATCGTATGTACACCACTCAGTCCGACGTGTAAGTGTTAATAATCAAGAATTTTATCTAATTTTCGTATTTCACTATTTTTAACACACATTATATGGTTTCTTCCAGATGGTCGTACGGAATTCTACTGTGGGAGATTATGACACTGGGTGGTACGCCTTACCCGTCCGTGCCGTCGGTCGAGAAATTATTTCAGCTACTTAGAACCGGGCATCGAATGGAAAAGCCGCCTTGCTGCTCCATTGAAATGTAAGACACGCCTCACACGCAATCTGACTTTATAATGCAGTTGATATGCGATTCAATCTTGAGAATATATTCTTTGGTTCGTTACTTGTAGATATTTGCTCATGAGAGATTGTTGGAGTTATCAACCGAATGAAAGACCGACCTTTGTCGAATTGGTCGAAGATCTTGATAAAATATTAACAATAACGGCGAACGAGGTGAGTTGCGCGATCTTTGCGTGTCACATAATAAACATTGGAATTTTTTTAGCAACGATTTTAATATGTATTATATGTGCCTTTGACCTTAGGAATATCTGGATCTCGGCTTACCCCAGTTGGACACGCCTCCATCAAGTCAAGAATCCAGTGAGGCGGAAGAAGAGGGCGAAGAAAAATTTCCATATTTACTTTGAATTATCTACTCGTCGTGAGGAACGTCGCTCCAACATCGCTTACAAGTACTTGAGGTACTTGAGATAACGTAGACGATTTGCCAATGTAATCGGCCAAATGGAGGAATAAGTGAGTGGAAGATAATCGACTGAAAGAAGCAAACACGCCAAATAATGTAAATCAGTATTGACCTGTGTAAGCGAATGTTTACATAAAATTAAGACGCTAATCGTGAAAACAGTGGTATATGTCAATAGAATTGTATTGATCAAATTTCATTGGATTATATCATTTTTCTATGCGAATTGATACATGTTACGTTTTTAATTTTACGGTGAAAAAAATAAAGCACGAAAAAGAGACTGTTTTTGAGGCGCGCTAACGCAAAAGAGAATTATATATCATCTATACGAATCTATATATTTATAGATATAATAATTGTGCCATTAATCAGTGCCTTGCAAAAGTGTTGAGCATATAAGTGAAAAGTTAGATCGTACGCTCGATCGCAGAGATCATACGAGAATGGATATCAATCGAGATATCAAGTGGGCATGATATTGTGTTTGTAACTAGTCAACTGTCCGAAATTGTATGTTTTTCTGTATTATAGTAGCTGATAGATTTTTAGTGTTTTTACGTGGCTAGTTTTAGCGGACAACGACCGTAGATTTTGTATCGCGGGCAGCGTGTTCTGTAGCACTTTTGTAAAAAAAAATTAGACTAGTTATATGTAAGAGATCGAACGTAGGTGTAAGAAAGAAGGAGCAACAAGCCTTGTAACGAAGCGAATGTATCGTTTCGAGAAAAAAGTCCAAAGTATTGCTGTAAGCCGTAGTTATTATCGATGTCAATCGCGATAAGTGTAAACGGGGGAGGGGGTGTATAAACGGGGAAGATGCTTAGTGGTAGATAATTTATTTCTCATATATCAGTGTCTCAAGTATATATATGTGTATTCAGAATCTTTTTTTACGTAATTTTAAGATATGTCGCTCGCGAGCGGTACTTTTGTAAAAAGTGACACTAATGAATTATGCATTAGAAGATAGTTTTCATCCGTGATCTGTACATATCGACGTTTATTTAAAGATGATTTGTTATCCAGCATCTAAAGGTAGCATCAGTAAATCAGCATTTACCTAAGGTACAGCGCATGTATAGATTATGTAAAGAAATCGCCACACAATGCGAGTTAAGCCTTTATTAAATTGATCTGTATTAAATTAATACTACGTCCTCTCTCTTTGGTAAAAAAAATATTAATCGGTATTTTAATCTTAGTAAACAAAATGTTAGTAACGTTGGCTATCTAGAATATTACTTTTTTTCTGCATTGTATAAAAATCGAATTTTATTAAAAAAATATATAAATAAATTGAATACATGAACACTTTAATGTTGTTGCAATTCTCCAGCAACAACATTGTTTTGTAATGACATTATATTATCCCAATATACACCCAACACATTTAAATTTTGATGTATTAATAAACATATATGTAACATAATATTTTTTATAATGATTTATCGCAATTAAAATTTTGATGCAACGAAAATTTATGTGTAAAAATAATTTGCGCAAATCTGTTTGAATAAACTTTTTAAATTTGCACAATTGATCGTATCAAGATATCACATATATCCCTATTTTCGATTGCAACTCGTGTCTCAAGTAAATTTGCATAGCTGCCGCTACTCGTCGCAAACGGCGCTGCTGTCAATCCATTTCAGTCCGTTTTGTTGTCCTATGAGTCACATTTACACTAAGTTGTTTTTAAACCAGATTTTTAGTAAAACTTTTAATTTTGCAAATCGCTTACTGTAGTTCGAAGGTTAAAGTGTGATAATGTTGTGGGATTTGCGAATTTTTCCCGTAGAACTTCGTAATACATAGAACTAGCGAAAGATCGCCGTATAACCACGCTCGAGATTAAGGTTAGAGTCCGATAACCCATTTTTTATCACAATTAATATATCGCTGAATTGCAATCACATATCATTCTTTTGCGTCAATTAATAATAAAAATAAATTACGTCGGTTTGTTTCTACTTCCTTAAATTTGTTTACTCTCTCAAGCAGTCACTCATCTTGATAACTTTTAGAGTATTGTAGATTGGAGTATTGTGTTTATTAATTTCTGCCTATTACTGTAATTGCTGTATCTATTGTTACAGATAATACAAATATCTTTCTGTTAAATGGTGATTATTGATGCGATGGAGAGGAGGATAAAGCTAAAAACCTTAAACAGTCACATAACATGCAAGATATGTCGTGGATATTTGATAGATGCTACTACTGTAACAGAATGTTTACATACATTCTGCAAGAGTTGCTTAGTGAAACATTTAGAAGAGAAGCATACCTGTCCGACGTGTCAAATTGTTATACATCAGTCTCATCCACTTCAATATATCAGCTTTGACAGAACTATGCAGGATATTGTCTATAAATTAGTTCCTGATCTTCAAGAAAGTATGAATTTCATTCTAAATTTCAATTTCTATGTGAAAAGTATCTTCTTTCTTCAGATATTAATAAATTATTTTTTATTTTAGATGAAATCAAAAGGGAAAGAGAATTTTATAGAGCTAGAGGTTTGCCTTGTCCCAAGGATATTTTACCCAATGCTGGTGAAATTGAAGAAGAGAAGGCCAATGCAGATGCACATGCGGAGTCCGATTATCATCGCACTGATGAACAGGTAATTACAAATGCACATGTACAAGAGAATAGAATACTTGATAGAAATTTGAGATAATCCCATTTTATAGGTTAATGTATGTTTGGAGTGCATGAATGCTAGTTTGAAGACTCTGAAAAGGAGATTTATCAGATGTTCAGCTCAAGCTACAATAACACATGTAAAAAAGTTTATTGCTAAGAAGGTTCTGAATGGCATGGAAAAATATAGAGATGTAAGTATATTTAATGACATGAGAGAATATATTTATTGTTATCGTTTATTAATTTATTTATTCTTTACGACAGATCGATATTTTGTGCAATAACGAATTACTAGGTAAGGACCATACATTGAAGTTTGTTTATGTGACGAGATGGAGGTTCCGGGACCCACCTTTGAGGTTACAATATAGATCGCACATAGATATGCAAGACTAATCTTTCTACATTCGTGGTATATGAAAATGATGAAGGATCTGTCCATACATTTGTACATTTTTCCAGTTCTATTCCTATCTTAACTGTCGTAGTACTTATTTCTACGTTTTAGCAAAGTAATCATGATGAATTTTAAGAAGTAATTTTGATTCTATAAAACGGAGTGATATGGCAATTTTAAGAGATGTGTACTATTCTCGTTATTATTCATAACATCGTAAAGAAAGCAAGAATCTGTATTTCAAACACGCGTTTTGTCTGGCTTTGTCAAACTTGATTATCGCCGCTTCTCGTGCAGATTCTGCATTATGTTTTGATAGTCGTAGCATAATCTTTTCTTCTAAAATGCAGGAACTTGGTAAGAGAGTGAGACATTTTGCATTTTATGACGTAAAACAAAACCGCAGATCCTCATTTTGTGAGAACGTGCATTTTTTTAATATATACATACCCCATCTTTGTACATAGAATATTTTTGACAAAACTTGAACAATGTTGCGTGTAGATGCAAGCTTTGTATTAGATAAAAGGAAGAAACCGGGTCTGAATAGTCGGGCCTTTTTAACTTTGTATGTTTATGCGTCGTACATATTCTAATCGCGCCTCGAGTTTCTCTCGACACCGACGTGCGATTGAGAGAAAATATTCGGTGGCTCATATATTTTCAAGAGATTCGCCATTGATAGCATCGTGTTGAGCGAAACGCGTGGCCGTAATCGCTTGTAGTAAGTGATCTTGTTTCATCTGATGATGTTAAATGATAAAAAAGAAGATGTGATTGTATATAAATATTAGAGAATCGAACACAATTTGCGAAGTAGCGGCATTGCAAGGATGTTAGAGCTTGTACTCCGTACACTGTGTATGCGCATCCCTATAAATTATTAAATAAATATGTTTTGTACAGTATCGCTATCGTAATCAATTCGTAATATTTATAACAAAGTGTATTGCAAAGCTGTGATGAACGCGAGGCGAGTCAATACAGCGCAGTGTGCGTTCGAAATTCGCGGTTTCTCAAAAGTCAACACGCGCACGCGCTGCTCGCTTCTCTCCTGATTTGTTTGGAAAAGGCGGGGGACGATCTAGAGAAGGGCATGACCGGCGGACGACCGGCCGGATGCCTTCGCTTAACTTCAGTTGAATGAAAGACGTTGGGGTTGTAACATCGTGTCTCGCGCGCTGCCCTTTCCATTGCATTCTTTTGTCGTTTCACACACCTTGCACGGTACGTCGTACGTGAGAAAGTGAGCAAAATCAATTTCTTTTAATGTGCATCGTGACGAGTATAACTTTCTGCGCGCAGTTTTGCCACAATGTCGGACCAATAAAAACAGCCGATCTGTTACACGAATGGAGCAACATCTCTTCCGAACATCGCCGTAATTGATCAGATTGGAAAGAATTCATTGCATCTGGAAAGATCCACGCAACACTTGTCAGCCAGCGATCCAGTTTCGATCAAGTAAGATATTTATCTCAAAACTCGAATAAACAGATGCATTGTAGAATCGTTAAAATAGCGTTATATTTTGTGCAAGATACAAACTATTGATTGATCAATCGACGATCACAGATCACTCAAATAATTTATTGCTCGTAACGCGTGCGTATAAAGGAACGCCATTTCCCTCATGTTTTGATTTTCTTTTCCGTTCTGATTATTCGCGCGGGATTCATGTTATCAGTATTAACTATAGCTAGTGACAACAAGTAAGTACTAGTTTACGCTTTGCGACTTTTTTCCCGCAACAATTTCCTTACTTCACGATAGATTTTCATCCAGCTGACGGTAGAATCTGCTTGCTAGCATAAATATGTATGACTGTGTACATAATTCAGTTATCGGACAAAGTGTCATGTGTGCATAATGCAATATTATAGATAACCTAAAACCTGTTTATTTCATAATCAAATGGTATTTGTTAATCACGACTTTCTCAGAAATTAATGCAATCATAATGCACGCATATTATTTAAAACATATTTTGAATTTTTAAACTGTGTTTAAATGCTGTTCATTAGAAATATAGGCCATTAATTAATCATATCGTTAGCTATTGAATTAATAACTGCGCACAGTGCACATTGCGTGTACTTAAGCAAGTGCGTACGCTTTCGAGCAAAGTCCTTGGCTCTGGTATGCGCTTAAAACGTGATTATTCTGTGACGGAGAAGCGCGTTTACTCCGAAGTATCTCTCGTAAAAATTCACTGGGGCGCCTCGACCGGTTTCTTTCTCTCCTTCTCTTACGTGCCCGTTACCTCGATCGCTCGCAGCTCTGTTTTGCTCCGCTCTTACTTGAGCTACGCAAACCTCGCCAGCCTCTTGCGCTGTACACATCGTACACGCGCCATTGAAAAGCAACGCAAGATTTTCAAGCCACGCATAAACTATATCTGACCGTCTGCCAAAAATCACCGCTATTTTTATCCGTTTTGTATGCGTTAAAATCTTTCTTTAGATATTCGCGAGATTCTCGCTTTCTCCCCTCCGCCGCCTGTGAATTCAAAAAAGAAATAATAGCAGGTGACCGAATGAATATGCTTCCTCAATTAAATCAGCTGTTATAACGAACAATTTTTGTTTTTTCCGGTAAGGTAATTTGAGATTTCCGCGCAAAACGTGAATTGAGTTAATGGAAGTTCATACGAAATATAGAACACAGCGTAGGATATTGAAATTTTCGTTTTCATTATTCAAAAATGGTCTGTTCGATAATACACATTTCTTTGTTGACATCATTTTTAAAATCCATAGCCTCCGATCACGCGACGAGTTGAAGAGCACGATGCAACATTGTCGGTCCAAACATGTTAGCAAATTGGTCGTTGATCATCTCCTTCCTGATTCTATATCGAGCAGTGAATCATTGATATTATTTTCTGTTATCTACACTCTACAAAACTAATATTTATCTTGACCGCAGTCTGCGTTAATATAATATGATTCATTTATCGATAAACTTAAGATTGCTACTTTTTTTGCTGAATAAATTAAAATTGCGCGTGAATGACGCACTCGCGGACAATTAGATGCAAAGGTAGCGCACAATGACGAAGTTGAAGACAAAGCACGGCATCGGAGCATCGCGCGTTCCATTTACTCAACTTCATCGTGAATCCAAGTCAGCACTCAGCTTGACAATTTCAATCGCGCGGAACGGCGTACAGATCGTGAAAGACCATGCTGCCGCGGCACGTCGTCGTAAAATGACGCTATGTCATTAAAGAGAGAAAGGGAAGGAAGGATGGAAACTCTGGTTGTGTGAGAGAGAGAGAGTGAGGACGGGAGAGCACGAGGGGAAAGGAAGCTGTGAACGGAGCTATTCTACCCGCATGGTTATAAATCGAGCCGGATGAATGTAGACGTCCCTTTGCTACTCGCGGCTGCTGCAAACATGAATGAGTTACGCGATACAGACGAGATGTAAATATCTTCCGTATAATATTTTTTCATACGCGAGATAAGGAAGAAAATGCGCTGCTTTGACTTCGCAAGAATTCGTACTTTTGTACGCATAAGAAAATTTATATAGGTACAGTAATATTTTACCAACAAGACCTAATAAATAAAAAAAAATAAGCCTTGTCTTCGCATATTAAACGCTTGCGAAAATCTAACAGAGAATATATTATACATAATAATATACATATTTGAACAAAATAACATACTAAAACGTGCGTTATTAAGAGAGAAATTTTATCGAGAACATGCAGCGTTGGCGTCCACATTTTCATTTTGATTTTGTCAAAAGTCACGTACTGTTAAACGCTTCGACAGAGCGCGATGATGATTCACGATCGCGGATTACTGGAACCCGGAAACATTGTTTAGCATTTAATTACCACAATAATGGCGATCTTTGCCCCGACGGAAAATTTACACGTTAAAGCGTCGTTCGATTTCGCAAAATTCGCCGCACACGTCGATGACTTTTCGCGCGTGATTTTTCGTGCACACGCGAGAATAATTTCCGGCTGATGAACGAAACGTTTATACGCACTGTGCATTATTCAGGCACGGGTATCGCGAGTAATTAAGTACCCACGCGTGCCGTATAGAGTGACTAGATTTTCCGAGAATGACAATGTGGTACGAGTATCGTCGCGCTGGCTCGTACGTCAAGGCCGTTTTCACGTAAAACGACAAATTGTCACGGCTTCCGAGTAGCCAAGCCGCCGTCGCAAAGTATCAATTTTGCTGAACGTTTTTTCCCTGTACTTATCTAAGTCGTCTTACGCTTGAAGCTGTTCATTGTCCACGCTACGAATTTAGTAGCTGTTCATTATTCGTGCGAGTTTTTTTATCCGTCTTTTTCTCGCATTCGCCTGAATCGTTTTGTCAACACCCGAGGCGTTTTTACTTCATTGCACTTCATTATATTCATTGCTATATGTCACTTGATGCTGAATATCTTTATTTGAGTACTTTATTTGTCTAATACGACAATCGCGTTCAATGTCTAAAGTTTCTCTTCTAAAGTTCACATGCGCGAATGATCGCGCGTAATTTGAAGAGTCTCATTACGAGCGTAATTCAAGCTCTTCGTGTATTACATCGCTCGATTGCCGAAGAGGCTAGCGTTGCAGGTGCAAAGGGTTGAACCGATCGATACACACGAAAACAGAATTACGACTCTTCTGCACTAATAATAATCCAGGCTTGACGAGCCGACCGGCTTTCCTACGAATACCGCATCATTTCCGACACGGTATCTAGCCGAGATAACGATTGGAAATCATGGTTCAGGCATGGTCAGGCATGTTTGAGCAATCGATTTCTGAAACGTTCTGAATCTATAAACGTTCTAAATATTGTGTATTACTCGCGACAATACGGATTCAGGTCACCCATAATTAATCCTCCGCGCACAATAATTTCGCACATTTATTTGCGTCCCTGATTAGTTTCGATAAACATCGCACGCATGTTGATTCTATTGACGCCATTATCAGCACTGTATATGGAAGTAGGTCTTTTGGAAAGTAGGTCTTTGGAAAATTATCCTTTCGAACGGACTTTATCTTGCGCCGCGCACAGAAGAGATGTGTGTGTGCGCGCGCGCGCGTGTGTGTGTTTTCGTACACGTGCAGAAATTTTCTCGTGTATTCAGAAATGTCGTGGTCTCTGCACCTGTTTTTGACAGCGTTACGCCGTCGCGGGTTGCGGTGCGTAACTTTCACTGTTGTATTCGCAATACCTCGTTATTATGTAAGAGAAAAAGTCGTGCGATTCATTCAACCGAATAAGTGCAAACGCACATGCAATTTTTCCCCGATACGTTATATTTAAGATACATTTATTTTTTGACGGTAAAAGGATACGCTGTCGCGCGATTAGGCACAATCGGGTCGTACGAGACTCAGAGTTTCCTGAGGATATCGGTTTACGAAACATTTTCCGGTTCTTCTAATAGCGTCGAGTTTTATCTCACATTCAACAACTTTATTGACGTACACAATATCATTGATAAAAAAAAGAGACTGTATATACATGGTGTACGATTGTCAAACGGGCGAGCTCGTGAACACGAAATCTTCGATTACGCTCGTCGCGCTTCCGTTACACAATTTCTTCTTGGAACAAACTTTTGTCGGCGCCGTTAGATATCGCGGAATTACGTAAGTGATCCTAGTGCGCTCCTAGCGAGTCCGCGGAAGTTTACGCACCTCGGCGGTCTTTCGTTCCCTCGCGATGCGTCGGGGTTCGATCGCGTCATAACGAGCGTCGTTGTATAATTCTGTTTTCGCCTTATTAACGTAACGATGGAAAGCGCGATGCCGGTCCGATTGCATTTCAAGTGTGAAAACTTCCGATGCTCGTCGCGATTTTCCTTTCCACTTGAAATTTATTCGAAACGAAATCAAAAGATGACGACTCGGTGCTTTTCGCTCTCTAAACTTTGATCTGCATTGTTTCCGCACTTAAACGGTAATGCATGCGACGAACTGTGAACGGGGATAATGAGTGGTGAAGCGTCTGCGAGCGCGTGATTTATCTAATCTGTCCGCCGTATCGGCGGAACCGCTGATGCATCGCTAACATCGGCGCATCTTCGTAGTATATCTAGCGCAAAACGTGGGTATGCAGCTCCGCGATTGCATTCTTCATTCGCGATGTATTTGTGCGACGAAAAAAAAAAAAAGATTTGCATCGGACATTCGGACGACTGCGCTGAGGCGTTAATTGCATCGTGTCGTATCTCTTCCGTTCGTGCTCATTGATGCGTTGAATCTTCTTGCACCATAACGTTATCTGCTGTACAAATGTTAAAACGTATGATTAGATAATGCCAAGAGAAATTGCTCGGTCGCGGTTCATCGACTCAACAATATTATGTCGAATATTTGGATCACTGACGGTCAACTTTCGGATTGTCCGTTTCGATAAAAAAATCGACGTGATCTTCTTTACAACAGAAAGTCTGGATAATCAATCTGAGAAAATATGCAGTAGAACTGTTCAGAGAAACTTGTGTTATTTCAAAACTAACGGAAAAAGAAGTTACAAGAACTAAAGTGCAGGTGCGCAAAAAATTCTGTGCTGATTTGTAATAAGTTTTTTGTCTCGACGCTTTGGACGGTCGTTGCAGCCCTTTTGTCAGTTTTTTTTTTATTATTTCAGAACTATGCATCACACCATTGTGTTATTTCAAATTTCAAGTAACTATCATTTTGCCCGCAGAGACGGTTTCCGCATTTTACGAAATTATTCCCGTCAGCGATTCCGCAAACAAAATATTTGTTTCGTGAATCATCTTATTGTTAGTTTCATTCATTCGAATTTAACACGACGTTCTATTGTTTCGTTACTTTCTTCCGTTATATCGTCTCATTGGCTTTTATCGCATTCTCCTAGATTGACGACCATAGTCCTTCCTACATCCTTTGTTCTCGCAATTGTCATCTCAACAGAGAACGATGCACATCCCGCGGGCGGAGTTCGATGTATCATTTTATCACCACATCCTGTGACTTGCGCCTGATACACACGCTCACACCTACACCACAGAGTCCCTGAGCTTTTTTTCTACGTAAACGAATTAATTCCCCCCGGGGTCGTGTGAACTCGAAGGGTCGCTCCCCCTTCGACCACAGTAAAGTGAACACGAATACGCCGGCTAGAATTCGGCTGTACTAAAATGGCAGGTCAGGTTTTCACTTAATTCTATTGATCCATGGACAAACACGCCAGCGGTACGTTCGGAGCTGCAAACAAAACGTTTTTATGAGAATCTCTGTAATTTTTTTCTTTTTATAAATTAAAAAAAAAAAAAAAAAAATGGAATTTTCTTGAAGTATTTTTCATTTTACAAAATCATATTTTAATCTTATTTATTTCAATCATTTTATTCATAAATAATATATCTATTATCTAGTGCTAAATATGGCTAAAAAATTAGTTTTATTAATTAAAATAAAAAGTTTTCTGCTATTTTCTTAACCACGCACATTAATATTATAAATATTTATCAGTATATCTGCACAAATCAGTCATCAAAAATAAGTTGGAATGAAAATTTAGCGATTAAGAAAGACGAGGAGAAGAAGCAGAGCTTTTTGAGAGACAGATGCATTCTTTACATAATGTAGTACCATTGATTTTTCTTTCACAGCGTACAGTATTCACGCTCGCGAATAAACAATCGCATTAAAAATGTTTTCATTTGCAAAATTTATGCCAAGAACGAAAGAGAAAACGTCAATACGAGTTTATTATTCTAAAACGTTTATTATTCGTATCATCGTACACTGTTATTTTAGACTCGTGCGAACGCTCGTATCTAACATCCAGTCATCTGCTGTTACAATATGACTCGCACTATTAGAGGGGTTTTGTGAATTCTCGTGTGCGTGCGTACATACATCCTCCGCTTCCATCTGCGCGTACGCCAGTCCCGTCTGGCCGCGAACAATTGCGTTACGCTCACCTCTTTTGTCGGTTTCGCCCGCGTATGTAACTGTACGGTGACGTGCAGTCGACTATACAGTTATAAAAGAGAGAAAAAGAGAGGGCGCGTGTTTACTCGTCGCGACAATAATTGTGACGATGCCGGAAGGTGCGTGCACAAAGGCACGGAGTGTGTCATCTCTCGCGCGTCTCCGCGCTCTGAGAAAAACCGCATCTTCCCGGGACGTGCTCTAGAAAAGCCAGCGCGATTGTATAATCTTCTTTCTGCGCATCCGGTTTCGTTTAAAGTCAATCGCCGGAGTGAAAATCCGAGAACACGCGGAGTAATTATAGCTGCGATGATTAAAATCGACTCTAACCGCTCTCGTAAGCCAACGAAAAGAAAAGGATGTTAGCGCGTATAGTTCGCGTGGGCGTATCGGGAGATCAAGCGATCGGACTCGTCTTAAAGCATTGCCATCGATCTAATATTACGGCACTTCCGGTCGCGACTCAGCGAGCCGCTTGATTCGCACTATGAATCATGGCGCGAGTCACGTCATGACAAAACCGTATGTTCAGCACGTGTGCAGCCACTGATTCATGTATTTGACTCGATCGCAAAGCACAATTTCCGGTCATAAGCACGCGACTGAAATTTCGTCGAGCTTTTCGCGGAAGCATCGAATGCTCATCGACCTGCTAGTCGATATTCCGAGCGGAGCATTTCGCAATCCTCGTTGCGATATCGACACGCGTCCCCGTTCAATAAAATTACCTCGCTTGGACTTTTGATAGAAAATCCTTCGCGATTTGCACACAAGCAACGCGGCGGGCATTCCTCGCGCATATCAGATCGCAGCACGCGAATCAATAAAGCGTAGAACGATAGGGCGTTCAGCGAAAGCAACTCGAGAGCTTATTTACGCTAAATCAAGATAACTGTAACTGGACACCGCGCGCGCCGAGTGGCTTCGCTGTATCGATCGTGATTCATTACGGACGGCGCAGAGTGTAAAGTCGAGTAGACGCGACACAGATTTTTCTGCGAAACGACGAGAAAAATATGCTAACGGCTCCAATTAAGCGCACAGAATTCGCACGTAGTCGCGAATAACTGCGTCCTTTCGTGTTCGCATTTTGCAGGCATTTGCAAAAGTAAATCGTGTCGTTGCGACACGCAAACGCGTTTAACGTGGCACATTTCACTTTCAGATCGGGAAAACAAGCTGACCGATATTTTTTCTCCCGGACACGCGTGAGGGATTCGGTCACGCGAGAAACGCGAAGGAGCAGCGTGTGATGCGATGAGACGGCGATAGCGAATTTTGATTTGCCAAGTTCAAAGTCACCATCGATCAGCTGAAAATGCAGTCTGCGGTGTGGTGGTTCACTGCGGCTGTCGCCGTGATGACCTTGACATCGGCTCTCGAAGGACCGAACATTTGTACGCGGCAAGAAACGTGAGTAATGAGTTAAATTTTGTGCAATTAAGTGCGACTTACGTGCGACAGCGCTCGACTGACGCCTCTCCCCCCGCTCAGGGCGTTTCCACCGATTGTGAGTGCCGTCGCACCGGCTCAGATATCGGCATTTGCGGGAATAAATATTTGCTTATTTCAGGTATAAAATAACAGTGAAGGTATCGGAACAAAAACCTTACACCGTGAGGGAGAATACGTGGTGCTTCAGTTTTCCGCCGAGATGTTCCAAGTACAAAGTTGTCTTCAGAACGGTCTACAAGGAACAGGTCGGTTATCTAATCAGTATTTTCTAATTTATGAACAAATTGTATCCAAGCTCCTTACCGTTTTGTAACAAAGAAGAAAAACTGTGGAGAGGCGATTACGCCGATCAAGTGGCTTAACTTGACGGACACGCTCGTAATCTCATTACGCGGTTCTTGCAGGAGCTGTCGAAGCAAAAGCCCGTGGAGGAGTGTTGCAAAGGGTACACGGAAACTACGAACGGCGATCGCTGCATTCCGGTCTGTTCCGAGGACTGCCGCCATGGTACCTGTATCGCGCCTGATATCTGCAAGTGCGAATCGGGATACGGCGGGCCATTATGCGATTTCAGTAAGTGCAGCCTCTATTCGACTAATGATAATTCCGAGCAGCTCAAGTGCTTTCTTTGTTACGCATTGCGTTTCGCTTACAAAACCTCGACGAGTAGTGCGTGCCATGAAAAGATAACGTACAAAGATAAGAGAATATTTAAGATTACTCGAGATAACGATTAGTAAAAGACTGGGATAAGGACACATTTCTGAAAAACAATGTCGTGGGGAAAGTGTCTTGAAATTCCAAAGTTTAAGAATATCTTTTTACTGAAAAAAATTCACATCGTTTTTTTTCGGAATATTTTCATCGAGGAGTTATTAAAATAAAAGAACTATTGAGAAGAATGTGTAGTGATTTTTTTACGTTGGCGCAGATGAAAAATTCGTTTAAGCGTTGTACGAAGCGGATTATTTTTAACTCTCGTATGAACAGGGTGCCCGCTGGGTAAATGGGGCAGAGATTGCGAGATGGATTGCAAGTGCCAGAACGGGGCCACGTGCGATCCGTTCGACGGTAAATGTATGTGCACGAGGGGCTGGACCGGTGTGTATTGCGATCAAAAGTGTCCCTCCAACCGCTATGGACAAGAGTGCGCCGAGGAGTGCCGTTGCAGAAACGGTGGAAGCTGCCACCACATTTCTGGTGAATGTCACTGCGCCTCCGGTTACACTGGACCACTGTGTAGTTTTTTTTTTCTTTATTCCTGTAATGCAACGGTAAAATTGCGGCTCGCGCGTGTTGCATTGCAATTTAACGTTTCTCAGGAATTATCGGCATTTGTTGGACTTTTTATCTTCGTTCACTATGCTTGTAAATATTCAGCTATTTATATTTTTCATAATTTAAAAAAAATATAAATATAAATATTCTTAAAAAATCCTCTTTAAAGTGGAAGTTAACAGATAAATGCAACTGATAACTTATCTTCTGGAAGGCATCTGGAAATTTGTCTGTTTATCAATTCTATGCATTAATGATCACTTGTCATAGATGTGACGATCCGTGCCCGGTGGGCAAGCACGGCGAGGAATGCAAATCGGAATGCCGTTGTCAGAACGGTGGTAACTGCAACCCCACGACTGGCGAGTGCTACTGCACACCCGGATGGATAGTACGTGAGACTTTAAGCGCAATTAAATGTGAAATGATCTGCGATCGCATAATTTGACGTACGTGATATTTGCTCGCATAGGGCTCGGTGTGCGCAAATCGATGTCCGGAGGGTTTCTGGGGCAAGAACTGTTCTCAAACCTGCGACTGCTACAACGGAGCTGGATGCAACCACGTCACGGGCGAGTGTCAGTGCAAGTCAGGCTTTTACAGCGAAAAAGTAAGTGTCGATTGTCCTTCATTAATTGTATCGCGTTGAATTGATCGTGTTGATAATTTCCTTTTTTTCTTACTTCGACAAACAGTGTCTGAAAATCTGTCCGGAGCATACGTTTGGATTAAACTGCATAAATAATTGCACCTGTGAAAATGACGCCAGCTGCGATCCTGTTAACGGCAAGTGTATATGCAGTCCCGGCTGGACGGGCAAAACTTGCAGCGAGCGAGCTTGCAAGGACGATTTGTACGGTCCTGGTTGTACAAAGGTAAGTTGCAGCTTCTTGGAAACCGTTGCTACAAATCGCACTGTCGATTAACGCGAATTATGTTTGCTTAAAGGTTTGCGAATGCGAGAACAACAATTCAGAACTATGTCATCCTTGGACCGGAAAATGCTCCTGCAAGATGGGATGGGACGGCGAGACCTGCGCCAGGCCGTGTCCCTTCTACACCTTCGGCAAGGGCTGTGAGAATCGCTGCAACTGCAAGAACAACGCGCAGTGTTCGCCCATCGACGGTAGCTGCATCTGCGCGGCCGGGTACCGCGGAAAGGATTGCGGCGAGCTGTGTCCCGAAAATACTTTCGGAGAGGAATGCGCGCAGAAATGCGCCTGCAAGAACGGGGCCACTTGCTCGCCCGAAAACGGACGCTGCAACTGCACAGCTGGTGAGTCGAAAAACACAACAAACCTGTGATTACAAATTTGTTCAAAAGAGAGGATTCATCAAGGGGGAAATAATTAACAGCCTTCACGTCAAATATCACGTTTCAAGTGTTTTTGCTCATCTAAATATTTAATTATCTTGTTATATTTGTCGTCTTTCATATTCTTCCCGATACTTTGCATAATTTCTGCATGGTGTTAGACAAGAGATAGATTTGCTTGATATCCTACTTTTTTGATCGTAGTTGTGTAGATTTTAGTGATATTTATTAGAGTTTCTCTCTCTCTCTCTCTCTCTCTCTCTCTCTCTCTCTCTCTCTATTTCCGATGAAAAAGATATACGACATCGGTAAGTACGACACAAATTATACGTATCTCTGTGACATTTTGCCAGGATGGGTCGGCGTATTGTGCGATCGTCCGTGCGATGACAAGTTCTACGGCAAGGATTGCGAGGGCAAGTGCCACTGTTTTAACAATGCAGCCTGCAATCCGCAAAATGGTAAGATGACTAGAGATTTTTCAGTAAATGCAATACAGCTGTTAACGCGTGGAATTTGACATCGAGACTATTTTGAGAAATGTACAGGGAGAAGTGCATATGAAAAATTTTCGCCTTCAAATCTTTTCTTTTGCACTTTTGCACTTTTGAAAACACGCGTTATCTATACACACGCAGGCACATGCACTTGTGCGGCTGGTTTCACCGGCACACTGTGCCAGCATCGTTGTACAAAGGGTTTCTTCGGGAACGGATGCAATCAGACGTGCGACTGCATCGAGGAGAACACTGTGGACTGTGACTCCGCTGCCGGGTATTGCAAGTGCAAGCCAGAATGGCGAGGTTTGTTGAATTTTACTCCCGCGATCGCTCGAATTGTAGATATTGAATTTTTATCGAACGAAGAATCAATTTCAAATCGAAGAAAATTATTTGTAAACGTAGCTTCATTCGTCCATTATTAACTTATCGTGAAAAAGCTGCCTAAAGCGGCGAGCGAAACCTGCCGACGGTTTTTACTTTGATATCAAAACAGGAGTTCGATGCGAAACGAAATGTCCGGAGGGTCTTTACGGCGAAAACTGTCACTCGCATTGCGAATGCATGAACAATAGTTCGTGTGATCCCGTGACCGGAAGTTGCATCTGTGCCAGGGGTTGGGAAGGCCCCAGTTGCTCGCAACCGTGCAAAGAAGGATGGTACGGCCTGGGATGCAAAGAGCAATGTCCGGAAAGAATGATCGGTAATGAGAAGATTTAATTTCAAAGACTTTTAATCGCATGGTCCGAGTTGTTCGCCGTAACAAACTAAATTGCATGATAGCTCTTAGATGATTATTTGAATTAGAATTTCATAGACAGCATCAAATAAATGTGATGTGAATTATTCTACCTGGTAGATTTAACATTCTAAACGAATGTAAATAGTTATTATATGTATCTAAACAATCTCCAAGTTTCATGCATTAATCGAAACGCTCGGTCTCTCGCTCTCACGGAACGTGTTTTTACGTAAGTGCAATAATATTAGGCGTTGCAATGGGTGTGTATTTAATTGAGTAATTAAAATCTAAGCGAAACAGATAAAATCATAAAATTAAATTCCCGCTTATGGTGATGTTGTAACATTCGGAGGTATACATAACACATTTGGAAGTGGATTGTCTCTTATTTTGTATTTTAATGCAACTAACGAAGCCAGAATTTGATCGCTACGCTGACGTATTCATATTCTCAATATTTTATTTCGCTCTTTGACTGTCTGCTTTTGTAAGCACTTCAGTATTTTCGTTAATCATTTTCTCTATTTTACATCTTATTGTTAAAGCGGACAATGTATTTAACAAGAAAAATACTTAGGAAAAATGTCACATATTAAAAAATTAAGAGACATAATGAAGTTTCTTTGCATAAATTTTTTCTAAATGAATGTAAATATTATTTCTTTAGGAAACATGACATGCGATCACGTTACCGGCGAGTACGTCTGCCGCCCGGGATATCTGGGTCTGACTTGCGAGCATCCGTGTCCTCCTGATCGTTACGGGCTAAATTGCGCGAATCATTGTCACTGTAAAAATGGGGGAGAGTGTCATCACGTAACAGGCAAGTGGAATGTCCTTCTCAAAATATACCCATCTGTTGTATGTTTTAAAAAATTTTATTTATCAAGGCATATTCTCCACTTAGGTGTGTGTCAGTGTCGACCTGGTTGGCAAGGCGAGTACTGTCAAATACCTTGCGCGGAAGGCACGTATGGCGTAAATTGCACGCAACATTGCAAGTGCCAGAACGGTGGAAAGTGCAGGCCCAACGACGGTCATTGTCGATGCGCGCCGGGATGGTCGGGAACTAGATGTACCGAGAGTAAGTTTAGCAAGTTGTTGTAAGTTATAATATAAAAAAAAGAAATGACTTGTACTGATTAACACTTATTGCTTTTAGTTTGTCCTGAAGGATATTATGGCGACCATTGTATGGAGCCTTGCGAATGTAAAAACGACTTCTTCACGTGCCATCCAGCTAAAGGTTGTATTTGCAGGCACGGATACACAGGTACGCGAAATGCATTCAAAAAAAGGAATTCAATGTAAGAAGAATTGGGATTTTTAGTTTTGTATGACATAATAAATGATTTTTAGGCGAAAACTGCGACGAGCAATTGTTCTCACGCAATATTCAGGAGAAGGACGAAGGCGGACACGGACACATCGTAGCGGTGGTGTTTGCGGCCGTCGTTGTGATCAGCATAGCATTAGTCGCATGGTTTTATCACCGTCGCAGAGTGGCCGATCTCAAGTGTGAGATAGCTCAAGTGCAATACACCTCGGAGCCAATTCCTACGCCAGGTAGGTCTTTTTTTGCTTTGAGAGATCTTTAAGATTTTATCCATAAGAAAAAAAAAAAAAAAAAACACAGAAGAGTTTAAACTTTAGGCGTTAAAATTGATAAAATCGCTTTTGCCGTAGACCGAAATCAATTCGACAATCCTGTGTACGCGTATCAAGGCTCTTCGAAGTTCGATGACGGCACCACCACATTGCTGAACAACTTCCAGTTCCGAAATAACTTCCACAAAAATATAAACACCGAGAAGGCTAAACTCGGTCTGAACAGCTGTACCGATGACGAGGATGAATGCAAAGGTATTACATGGTTTGATAATGATGTGATAACAATTTTATATAATGCAATTTTAATAATGCAGTGGTTCTTTAAAAACGAACAATTTTAAGTAATTAATTAATTAATTAATTAAAATAATTAATTAATTTGTTTGCTCTTGGTTCTTTTACGTGCAATTAATTTTTTAAATCTTGCTTTTTTTGGCGTGATTCTTCAAAGAAATAATTTTAATTATTTAATTAATTAATCGTAATAAATAATTTTAATTAATTACTTTTTTGCTTGCAATAAATTTTTTTCTCTTGCGTTTTTAAATGTGGTTTTTCAGAGACGAATAATTTTAATTAATTGATTTTTTTATTCTTGCTTTTTTAGGAGCATACGGACTGCAATACGACTTGAAGAACAGGGACGCCGACATGGGAAATCCGAATTTGAATGTGTATCACAGCATCGATGAGATGGACGGTAAAAAAATTGAACACGTCTACGACGAGATCAAACAAAACAATGAGGCGGAATACGATGAATTGAATCAGCCACGACCAGTGAGCTGGAATATAAAACCACAATCGAGTCGAACGGCTAATGGCTACGTGCCCAAATCGCACGACAATCCAGGACCTAGCAAGGTAATAGATAAGGATCCGGAACTAGGTGAAACCTAAGGAAGTCGTACAGCATTCCTCGCATTCAACTGCCCAAGCTTGAAATAACAATGAATTTCACGATCAGTCGGAAGAATCGTCTCCACTGTTTATAGTAGACTGTTTGCTTTTTTTATGATCTAGCAAGTCTGTGGTATTTTACTTGCATCGTCATTTAAAAGGTTCTTCATTTTTTAAATAAGTCTATGTTATAATTATGTCTAATTATTATCAAAAGTTAGTTTCGTAAAAAATATTTTTTATATATAAAAAAGGAAAAATTGGATTTTGCGCGCTTCGGTTGGCAAATACAGCAGTATTACCATCATATCATGATAATCTAAAGAGAAAACATTTTTGTTGTACATATAAACATTTTCTTAGGTATAGTTTTAATTAAATTATTGTATATCCATTTGATATACGTGCATATGTGTTGCCAGAAGGGGCATAAGTAGCTTTAAGAAGCTGGCAATGATGAATAGCAATGATGAAAGGTGATATGAAATCAAATCATGAATACGCGAGTGCGCGTAATGATTCTTTATATACATTTTTTTACTCGTCGTAATCTTTAATGTTACAATCATTATTATAAAAGCATTTGAAAGAATTATAATAATTGTTGATTCCAAAAATTACTAGTTTAAAAATTAATAATAAAATTAGTAGTTACTATACTTAAAATAAAATAACATTATCCGACATGTGAATGAATAATTGCGAAATTATATACGAAATAATTTACGTGAGCACGCACGTGATTTATTTCTATTATACGTTCATGAGTAAGCAGTTGTTTTATCATTTTATCCTACTTGTTGATTACGCGATTTTTATCAGTTAGTTGAACGCGTTTACAAATTTTTTTACCTTTTTTAAACCTTTTTTTTTTATATTTTCCGTTAAAGAAAGTTTCATGTGCAAGAAGTCACGGAATTTTGTTTATTCTGTTTATCTTGCGACACTCTTGTGATATAATTTTACCTTTGTATCGCTGTATCATAATAAAACAAACTATTTCTTAGTATCGCTCCGTATGTACGTAATCATATCACTGATTTACATTGAGAAATATGATCATATGTATGAGAAGTATGATCGCGTAAGCAAGAATTTGCAGGATAAATATAAATAATTGAATGAAATTGTCAATAAGCTAAGACAGAAGTGTGATAATATCGTAAAATGCATTGTTGATATTTGCAGATTGAGAAATACATATATTTTAATAAAGGTTCCCAGAAAGATACCTTATTATAATTGTTTATATAATGTCTAAACATTTGTTCGATTGCTCTGCATTTAACGGTAAGAGGCGTAAAGTCTAGCATTTCGTTGCGTGCTATGTCGTTTTACATTCTAGGCAAAATCTAAAATTGACTATGCGATTCACGAGAGCTGTTTTGTACGTGCAAAGGATTAAATAATAATGGATTTCTTGCTATGTAGTTTGCAGTATACGGAGCGCGTGTCTATTGTTAAGATTATTTGGTAAGAACATTTCCTACTATTTAAAGGCGTTGAGAAATTGATCGCCATATGTTTCGCCCTGTAAATACTGTAATAATATTTTTTGTGATGGAACGTAGCGTGACGTGATTTCTTGTAAGCAGCATTAACCCTCTCTGCGTCTCCGCGCTTGCACGATTTCCCAAACGGACGGCACGATCCAGTAGCCGCCGCCGAAAAACTGCAGCGACGCAGCCGCGTAAAGGCACAGGCTCTCACCTGCAAGTGCCAAAATCAGCGCATTAATCCAGACCAAAGTCTCTTTCACGCACTCTTGTGTTATACGCATCGCGTACCAAAGTCGCAATTTATAAATCTCTGTAAAATTGTAAAATAAATTGACGTTACGAAATACGTACTGTTCACGAAGCTGAAAGTCAGCACGCCCAATCCGACGACGGTGGAGAATAACTTGTATGAGCGATGCGCAAATTGATTCCCCAGGACGTCGCAGCGCGTCAAGTCCTTGCAGGCGAGCAGACCGCCGATGCTGATTCCGCCGAGTAGTGAACATATCAGAAACCGGTAATATTCATCTGCGTAAGTTAAACCTAGAAGTAAGAATCGATTTGAATCGCAAAGCGTTTAAAAATAATTTAGCATTATTAATAAATAATTTAATACTAATTGAAGAGAATCCTAGATAGCCAAATATTAACAGTGTTGGCAAATTGAGAACAAAATTGATGTAATTAATTAAATTTGGTGTCAATTCGCCGATATTGTGAACACTTTATTTACTGGCAAATGTTGCAGACTTCAGACTACGCACTTAAAAAAGTAATACTGCCGAGCCAGCAGGCACTGCCGAAATATATTCTTCTGTATTGCGCGGTAGTGGTCGTGGACCAGTAGCTGGCGAGACTGGGTATGAATGAGCTGATCCCAGCGGCCACCAGTAACAGCACCCAATTATCGGAGAAACCAACGCCCGTTCGCTTCAGAAACAAGAATGGTACCATAATCCAGAAAAAGAGCGCTCCGATTTTTATTCCGATCCAGGTCACCGCCACCGCCCAGAACCGGAAGTAGCGAGCCACGCGAAACTCCTGCTTCCACTTATTGGCCGACTGCACGGTCGGACTGGTGAAAAGCTCGACGTCCTCGTCTGTCTCCTGATACGCGTAGATGCTGTTTATCTCGCTGAACAAGGGCGCGGGATTTCCGTCCTGTCTGCTGCCGTCGTAGCCGACGTTGTCTAAACCGCTATTCCGTCGATCCGACTCCTCTTTGTCCGACGATATCCTGATGCCTAGTTCATTGTCCTCCTCGGTCGGCAGAAGCAATCTGTCGAAGGTGCGATATTACGGCGTGTTAACAATTCTTCAATTGAATGTAAAATCGCGCGACACATCGAAATGTTCTCATATTCAATCGAAACCTTCTGTCGAAATAGAACGTTTTGTAATGCAATGGCAAGCTGACGCTTACCTGTAAGGAGATGCTCGCTGTGGAGTAGGAGAGCGTAAAGTGAGAGCACCCAGAGCGGTAGGAACGAAGGCGATCGTCATCAGCAAGAGACCGACTCTCAGTCCGGTTTCCACGAGCAAGAAATGCGTGAGCGCCGGAACGATGGTGAAGCCGACGGATGCGGCGACGTTCTTCAGCGTCAGCACCAATGCGAGCTTCTCTCTGAAATGCTTTCGCAGCACGGTCTCGCTCTCCACGATCACGAAACTCGCTCCTATACCCATCACCGCTCCGGCGCTTAGGCTGGCCAAATATGCGCCCACTCCGCCAGTCGCCAGGTATCCGGAAGCTATGACACCCGTGGTGAGGAGCGCCACGCCGATGAGGCCGACCAGTCGCGGTATCGACGCCAGGTCCGTGATCGTTTTCGTCCATGGATCTGAAGGAAACGAAAATCGCAGAGACATCGACGCGTAAGTCGGTGTGAAAAAATTAAGTACCTGCCAAGCTCCAAAAAGCGACGAACAATATCGGAGTCAGAGTGATCTTCTCGCTCCACAAGTCGAGGTAAAGGAAATTCTCCTCCGTTAAATGTCCCAGCACTATGCCGTACATCGACAAGACGCTAGGTACGGTCATCTATGCATTTCAACAGCGTGGCGTTAATATATTTTTTTTAAATTTTGCATTACATTTACATTTTTTTTTTTTTTTTTTTTAAGCGTGGAATTTTGTACAGGGCGTCGAGAAATATAGTCACAATACTAGAGATTCCACTTACCTATCGTAACAATTACAAATATAGTTATCTAGCATCGATTTATATATCGTTATGAAAAGTCATAGTATGATTCAGCTGGATGCGTGCCTTGTATTTGACATTTTTGCGCCATAAACAACGTACAACACCTGGAACAAAATTATTTTATATTTTCAACGCTTTTAATTGCTCATCGCGCAACGCGTGAAGGATATCCGTCGTCGTTTGCGCGGGAACAAAGAGGAAATGAGTAATTCCTCAGGTAAGAACACATCCTTCGGTACTATTGAGAATATATTTCTAAATACCCTGTATTGCGCCGAATATTGATTGTCTTCCAAATTTTGCAGTTAATTTTACTAAAGAGTCTGATAACTGCATTCGCTGCTAAATCACGAGATCTGATGTCTAAGCGGAAGCGTAATCTTCACCGAAGCAATAATTTTGCAATAGTCGAACCTGAATGAAGATAACACCGAAGAGAACGAACCACGAGTAGCCACCATCTGGAGCTGTTGGCCCCAGTTCCGGAAACGAACTGACAATCTCGTCGAGACGGAGTCGTCTGACGAGCGACATTTTTTTTGTTGTGTTTGCGTTCGATGTATAGCTCGATGTAAACTTATCCAAAGAAAGGTGTTAAGTAATAAGAACTCGTTAAGATGATTCTGCGACACTTTCCTGTCTTCCACAAACAGCGCTCATCGAGGTAAGTTAAAATGTATTGTATACGCGGTATCTAATCTTGACTAAGATGTCGACGCTGCGATAGCCGTTGATAAGAAGAAAAAACCGCGCGGTTTACACCTGCCAAGCACCCGCGCACGTCTGCAAAACTTAATTCCCGCTCGATATCGTCAACGAATGTCGATATGATCAGCGGAGGTATAAAAGTGATTCTCAAAAAATTTTATAATAAATAATATTTATTTATAAACATATTACAATCGTGAAGTATTAATTGGAAAACTAGATGATTAATCACAATTGATTACACTCTTAATGATGCCGTTTGAAAATTCGTCGAATATTGTTAAAAAATGCCCGATTTCGCGCACCGTTACAAGAATATAGTGTCGAACGGTATATAACATACAAAGTTTAATTCAGCATAAAATGACTATACCGTTATAATTAAGAGTATTTTGCAAAAGAAAAAGTTTCCGCGCAAGTTCTTGCGGAGCGCAATCACCAGATGGCTAAATATTAGCAAATTCGATCAAATTCGTCGTCAATTCGCCAACATTTGCCTACTGAATCTTTAATTTATCCATCGTTTTCAGTTGTAAAACGGACGGAACGAACGAAGCCGAGTTCGTAAACTCGTGTTTGCGCGAGATAAAGCGGAATTTTTATTTCAGATATTTGTTTCTCCTCATTCTCCGTTTACACATCTTCGCGAGCATCACCGGTCGCTATCGAGGTGTAACGGACTCTCTTGCTAACCGAATCGAGCACCGGCTCCATCTTTTTCTGCAGTTTCGCCCTTTGCAAGTAAACTAGGGCGCACACTAGAGCGATCAGCACCATCGACAGAAAACAAAGCACCACTGTCGTCCCTCGTCGGGTGGAAGCAAGTAGCGGAGCGCAATTCTTGGTTTCGTGGAGGTAGTGCGTCACGTTATCTGATAAAAGAAGGAAGGTGCGAATTATGATTCTCACAAGTGCGTTTTTCAATTCCGATTGAAAGGAAAACACGTCTTACCTCTCAGATTACCTTCGTAGCACTGTAAGCTCTCTTTACTCCGAACAATCACTTTCGTCTTCTTCATCCACTTGATGAACGGGTTCAGCTTGCAGGAGCACTCGAAGGGATTGACGGAAAAGTCCACGGTCAGGGGCCGCTCGTGCTTGGCGAGATTGTCCATGGTGTGAAGATCGCGCTCGAGCACCCTCGTGAATTTGTTTCGCCGAAGATCCAGGAAGCGCAGATTGTGAAGGCACGATAAATTGAAATGCAGAGCGCTCAGTGCGTTATCGCCGAGATAAAGATCGAGGAGATTCGGCAGATCGCAGAATACGTTGGCGTCTCGAAACTCCGAGATCTCATTTTGCTCCAAGTGAAGCTTTATCAGCTGCGTGAGATTGCTGGGGAGAAAAAAATTAAAACATGAACGTCAAGCATCTTTCCTTAACGAACAAAATGAAACGAAACTCAGACGCGATACCTGTTCACGAAGATATCGTGGAGCGTCGCCGCCAGGTTCCGCGGCGGGCCATCCTCGAAAGCGTCAGTCAGGTGCAGTTCCAAGAGAGAGACGAAGTTGGAGAACACCCTCGGATGACTTCTCGCGGGGTCCAACGAGAGTTCGTTGAAGTCGAGTATTAGACGCTCGACGTGCTGCACGTGGTGATAAGCCTTGCCGCGGATCTCGCGTATTTTGTTATTCGACATGTCGATCACTCGCAGGTTTGGCAGGCTGTCCAATTTGCCGAACACGTTCCACGGCAGCACCACCAATTCGTTTCCCGTAAAGATGAGCACCTGAGTACGTTAAAATATTATCAAATGTTATATATATGTTGTAATGATGCATCGCGTATGGATTTCCAATCAATTATCCACGCACTTGCGTCTCGTTAGGAAGATGCTCCAACGGCGATGTATTCTTGAATCTGGTATTCGTGCAATTCACGACGTACTGGTGATGACCGTTGTAGCACGTTCTTTGGCAGTGACAACGGTTTTCAAAGGCTGGACCGCATTCCAGCTTGGACGTCTCCGACGTCTCCAGAGAGTGAAAATTCGGATCGTTGCAGTCGTTGGTTGATTCGGCAGCCGACGTTGATATCAGTACGAGCGACAAATAGAAAATGATGGACCTCATCGTGGCTCAATGGCAATCAGGACGGTTTCACGGTCAGAAAGAGATTTCCAGTTTACTTTAACGAACATCCGACCGAATGTGCCGCACGAAATCCAACGCGTTAGCCAAGAACGCGACGCATCACGCTCTCAATCTACAAATTGATATTAAAAATCGTGGTGAAATTAATTACTTAGAAATAACTAAAAATTCGAAGAATTTTTTTACATTTAACATAATCAATATAAAACAATGTAAATAAAAATTACGAATAGCCTCGGCCTTCTGGAGTCTCTGGATGATAACTGAACAATTTGAAGCAAAGAAAATTTGATGATTAGCGCGATTGCATCGATATCTAATCGTCGTATTTGTCGTTTTCGCAATTTTAAGTGTTAAAGTTTAAAGTAGGTCGCCGAGTTATATCTTCGACTCGAGAAACGTTAAACTGGCTCACCCACGCGACAGGTAATGCCGAGCGGAAAATGAGCCGAAGATTTTTCGAACATTAGACAAGCTCGTACGTGTGTCCGGTGAAGCGCGAGATGACCATGGCATGATTACTTAGGAACGTTGGCATTGAGAGAAAACACGTCGAAATCGCGTCTGTTTAATAATCCTAAATAAACGGAAGGCAAAGCAAACAACGGACGACAACTAATTAATTTGGCCTTTCGATTCTTTCGATTCTTAAGACAAACTAATGTCTTCTGTCCAATTAGTATCCGCATTTATTAATTGACAATTAATCATTATTGGTCTGCGAAAGAGTGTTGCTTCACAGAGGATATCAGCTTATAAAAAATGTGCTTCGGTTGTAGAATTAAGATACGTTCGTCGCTTGTGGTATCCGGTTACATATTCTGCGTCGGATTTCGGCTTCCACCGCGACCGAGTGACTCAGGGAATTTTCAATTTTACCTGACTCGAGAGGTCCTACTTGTTATTCCTTTCACACAAAAAAAAAGGAAGGAATTTCGGGGGATCACCGTACGCTCCGTCCAAGAACGGCTGCCGCCGTCAAAGTGTGCGTTTCACTTTGCGACGAAGAACCTGTCCGGTGAAAAACATCGGCCGGACGACGCGCTACGCTCCGACGTCTCGTACGAAATTCGTGCGGTGTCCACACAATGAACGGCTCGCTCGCTCGCAATTCCGTACCTTCTGAATTGTCGTTCCACGCGGCCGCCCCGTGCGCGATACGAACTTCCGGAAGCAGCGGGACGCGATGCACTAAGTGGACTCGCGAGAAGGATTCATGAGGTCCGTAGGAAGCGGCGCGTAATGCTCCTGTTCTCCACGCCACGGCGGACCGCATAGCATTGCTCGACTGTGCTTCATCCCGACCGCACCTGCGATTCCGCTCTCTCCTGGGCCCCTTCACGGACCCCCGTGCGAACTGGCCCCTCCAATCTCTCCCTTCCATCGCCCTCGTTCACTCGGCCAGCGATAGCATCGCGCCTTCTCCCTCTGACCGCTTCCTTCCGATACTTCCTTCCTCTTTCTTAGTCGCTCGCTCGCTTTGCATTCGCGCTGTCATTGTTAACCGATGGAGCCCATTCACCGAACGGGGACGCACGATTAAAAATATTTATCGCGTCATTAATCACGCGAAATGTAATTGCATAGAGGTTTGATTGGAAATTCAAGACTAACTTTGTATATGAAATCATCTTATCGTGAAGCGATACTGCTGTAACAGTTGGAGAATTTTTAGAAGTTTTTTTCATACGACATTCAGTTCTAATTATTCCATTTATATTCTGTGGAAAGATCTTGATTATCATTTCGTATCGCTTCATATTTAGTTTGGAATATTCTGGATAGATTTTGTTAGGAATTATTAATAATTAGAAAGGCGTGATTTTTTCTTCATAATGCTTATGTTTAAAAAAACAAAAAAAAACAGCATTTAGAGAGAAAGTGAACATTGGATGAACTGAATAAATCAACAATGAGACAACTGAAGAGGTTGATTGAGATTATTAAACATTTATTCACGACGCTACTGATCGTGAATAAAAAATAAACGTTTGGAGTGTACAAGTACCTTTATTTGCAGGAAACTGCATATATATTGAATATAGAATGGAAAACCATTCGTAGAGTATAATAGTTGATCAATCTCATACAATGTACAATAAACGAGTAAACTTCACAGACAAGTAATCATCGCAAATCGAAAGTTTACTTTTATATGTGCACATTCATACAATATAATTTTACGTTTATAGTCAGATCTAGTATTTTTATCTTCTCTACTAAATGGCAAACATTAGTTAAATGTTAAGTATTGTCAATGCAGACAAATGTAATCCGTATTAAAAAAGAAGAAACTTAGAAAATAATATCAATCAAAAATCTTGATAAAAAATCTACATACATATTTAGACACGTGTGCGTGTATGCAAATATTAATGCAAAATAGGAAAAGTATGCGTAATATTTTTAATCAAAACACATATTGGTATTCCACGCCGTTTTATGGCCATTTTTACGTATAAACAACAATTACTTCGCGTCATAACGTGTATATAATCGAAGATTTTGCATGTTATTCATTTTTTTCAACGGCAAATATATCATTTTAACAATTAATTTGGTTACAAATTTCATCAGTTTTCAAATATTCACTTTTTTATGTTTACTTGTGACAATTTTTTCAAAAATTTTGTAAAATGTTAATTTTAGAAAATTTTTAGAATGCAAAGTTCTACATTATTATTCAATCATAATTAACATTTGAAATATTGTTTTTTTATAATACGTAATGTTTTTAGATAAATGCATATAAATAGCATTTCGTATGTGTTAATGTTAACAAAATCAAGCACAAAATTGTACAAATCAGATAAATTTGAATACTATTTGTACTTGATTGTGTGGCATACAAGTATCGTGCTTTAAATGTCATAAAATATTGTCTGCAAAAACAATGTTCTCAATAATTTCAACTATAATTAATACAGTTTATATAAAATTCTATATATTGTTACATACATAAACAGTAAGTAGTATTTTTTATAAAATTGGCAGTAATAATTACTGCTACTTTATAGAACAATGGACAGTCATTTTTTTTATTAATATGTGTATATAAAAATAATATATAAAATATAACATAAAGCAGATAAATTGCTAAATTAGTGTTAATCGTTTACAGACTAGACACTACGATGACTGTGCTGTAGATTAAAGTACAATGACTATTTTGATGGTATCATAAGTATCGTGTTCGTTTTGTTTTCGAGATTTGATTTGCAAATTGATGCAAAACATCGAGAACGTCAAATCAAGATGTCAAGTATAATTATATTATTTAAAATATGTCTGAGATTTCTGTATTCAGCTCATTAAACGCTATACTTAAGATTAGACAAGTAATGTTTTGCATGTTTTGTTAGCGATAAGCTTAAAATAATCAGCAACTTATTATTTAAAATAACACGCTAGTGAGATTATAAATATATCAGATGCAACAAAATATACTTTTCGTTATAAAAATAATATTTCTAATATCTCATTGCGTTCGTGCAATTCGAAATATAATTTGTATTTTATATCAAATATAGCGCAATGCGCTAGTTTGGTTTATAACTTTGGCCTGAAAAAAAAACCTAACTGTTTAGGTACTTTGTGAAAGATATTAAATGCTTATGTATATTAATCTTTAAAACTGGAAAAATATATGCATTTAAATATAAATAGAAGAGCATATTTGGCAGTAATCAGAAAATTCCAATATAAAATGTAGATAAACTCGCGTTTCATTACCTAAACGCTCTCTCTTCTCTTACCATCAAATAAAGATTCTTTTTCGGCATATCATGTCGACATGTAAAATATACAAGACATAGATCATCTGTAGACAAACTCGATAATATCGTGAAAGTACTAGTTGATTATAATAATAAATAAAATTTGGAAGTTGGATTTGCATTAAAAAATGTTGAGGAAGTATCAGATTTCTGTCTACATGTTTACTGTTGCATTCATATTGTGGAAGGTTTATATACACTACGTATCTGTCAAGTGATTATATTTGCACCAATTTGTTAATTGCCTATGAAAATTAATGCAAATATGTCATAATGATGGGCTTATCTTCTTTATGCAGCATACTTTGGTTCATACGCATATAATTTTCCGTCGAAATTTATATATACATATCGATAAAATTTATACGTATAGTTATACATTTGAGTTTAATATACCTATACAGTTTAGTAGCTGTCATGTCTTTTGTACCGTTAAAATCAATAAAAAAATTAGATACATTACTTCCACTAATATGAGTTATTCTGTGTGTGCAATCGTAGAAATAAATTTTGCAAAATGTATAAATCTTTGTATGTATTATAAGATGTCAGTATCAAGTTATTTACAAAGAAATAAAATTACAAAACGTCGCTATCATACGTCAGATCTTGAATTGGTCCCAAAATAACGCACACCAATTCTAATGATAGCAGAGTGACAGTCTAAGAGAATATCCAACGCGCTTTATAACAATCTGAGAAACATGTCGACCATTCGATGTGATCAAATATAAGACACAGTATGCAAAGCATTGATTGGAATTGGCACAAAAAATTAAATTTTGATCTTCTTTATCTTCGTTACTATGGGACATACGACAAGGGAGTATTCTTACGTGATACACGCGACGAAACTAGCTTAAGCTTTGTATCTATTTGCCGATCCGCCTTCGCAGCAACAAATTAAAGCAAGTATCATACCGACGATTTCTATGATCAAAACCAATATCGCTATGATCATAATGTGATAAGTCTGGCTCTTCAACGTCATCATCAACTTTTCCGTGCATCCCTGCAATGAAATTTTTATCTTGACACACACTGCGTTTAACGCAATAACGGTAGAGAATATGCGTAATGAAATTGTATAACAAATCAATAATTAATGTAATAAAAATAAGCGTTACCTCGCTGTAGATCGCTGGGCTCGGGATTCCGGCGACTCTTACATTACGAGCTTCATCGCAGGCAATGCTGCCCACATCCTTGCAACATGATTCTGGTACTTTGAATGTGCTGTCAGCGCCGGAAACGGTCAAAGCGAGTGGAAGGGAAGGATCCTTGTTCGCGTACTTGCTGCCTGCCCAATCCGCAGGTCCAGTGGCTCCGCAGCATTCGAGACTGGACTGAATCGCGTCTATGATTTGGGTACGGCATTCTCTTTCACCGTATTCATTCTGCAAAAATAACGTGATGTTTATTTACTAAATTATCCCAGCAAGCAAAATATCAGTAATGTTGGTAGATTGACGGCAAATCCGATCAAATTGCCCACATCTTGCTTATTGAGATTGATAAAATAATTTTTAAGAACTGCTTTGCACGTGTGCGGCGTTAGATTTAATGATTAAAATTAAAGGAAAATTACTTTAACGGTGTTTATGACGGAAGTTCTCAGCAATTGGTCCAGACGATCCTTGTGAGCGCAAAGCCAGCCTGCGAAAGCGAGTTGCGCAACGACAATGACGAGCATGAAGCCGAAGAAGGTGGCTAGATTACATCGGGAATGCCTCAAAGCACCGCAGCATCCAAGGAAGGCGACGATGAACATGAGGATCCCGGAGGCGAGCAGGATATATAGACCATTGTCGTAGTGATGACCTTCTTGCGCGATTGATACGAAGAACGTTTTGTCCACCAGCATCCATGTACCCAGAACTATCGCCGCTATTGCGTTAATCTGTGAAAAAAAAGCATACATCGCGCAGTTACATCTCTTGGTTCGAAAGCTCTATTCTACTCTATTTCTGTCGATCGATTTTTCTCTCGATTTATTTTTAGAATTTGAGTTCAGGTTCTCGATCAAAGGGACACTGTACAAAGAGGTGCTTGCAGAACCGATGGGAGAAACTAACGAGCCACTTTACAAACCAAACTGAACAGAGCAGGACAAGGGAGAACGCAACATTTACAATGGAGTGGTCTGTCTGCCAGATGTGGGAAGCTTTCCATTTAAGCGTTCGGATTATTAAAGGGTTTCCTGCCATGCGACACTCCGCCGGATACTGAGTTGCCGGAACTTTTTTACGTTCAAAGTACTGCTATTCTTAAGCGCCAGTCAATTAGCTTATGTAAATGCAGTGGAAATACATGTTAATACGAATCTGCAGTGTCAAATATTTGTAGAAGCAAAAATTTGTCGAAAGAGCTGAAGATTCCTGGTATTAAGCATATTTTTCAAAAATACATATATTCGGGAGGAAATAAAAAAAAAACTGTCGAGAACTTTTTTACAAAAATCTTATAACACAACATACCTGTATAAAATTATTAATATCTACAATTTCTAAAAGAATTAAGATATGAGAGAAAAGTGAGCTTATTGAATTCGATAAATTCCAATTTATATATAATGAGCGACACAAGCGTATCTTTGAGCAAACAGAACTTTGGCATCATTCATTTCGACGAGAGTTGATGTAAGAATTGCGCGTATGACAACTAAAAACAATCCGATGAATCAGACAGATTCCATTTAGCTAATATCAGAATTAATATTGATGGAAGCGATCATTGAAAATCTAAAAAAATTCTTCTCTTCGGATTATCGTCGTAATCATCGCGTGAAAATCCAATGAAACGCTTTTCGCAGTCTTTTGCGGAAAACAGGAAATGTTTACTTCTGCTTTGCCGTTATGTACATAACGAGCCAAGTTGTACAGCAAATGTAGCAAGTATAATATGTAGTCGCACGTAGCACTTAGAAGGCGTTCTTTCATTGATAATATAACAGAGGGGGGGGATAAAAGAGGGGGGCGGAGGAAACTGGGCCGTAGCGTGGGCTGAAGGTTCGTAGGAAGAACGTGCTCGCTCTTTGACTAAAATACTATATTTAAACACTCTTGTCTAAGATGATTACTTTAAAATTACATGTGTCCCAACTTCTCTTGATTGTCCACGCGCGGTAAATGCATCCAGCTAGGCTCTCGCATTGTTATTTCAATTTACTTCTCTATTTTATGTTAAAAGTCGCGCATCGCTACTCGATTCGAAGTTCACGTTTTCCTAGAATTTTCTGCGTTTCTTCAGACTATGTTTTATACTTCTGGCCTCTGCTTTTAAACCATCATCGATATTTCGGTCTCAGATGTGATCGCCCCACGCAACTCACACTCATAATCCCGCTCGTAATCTCGTTCGTACAGAAATGGAACTTATAACTTTAATAATAAAGCTCTAACTAAATAGATAATAAAATTAATTTTTGTGGACAATTATTTCGATATATTCAATAATTAATATAATTTTGAAAGCATTATTTGTATTTTTTTGCAACAATTTACAATTGCGCTCCACAAAATTAATATCAAATCAAAGTATAAATTGAGAATTCATTTAAAAAATAGGATAATTGCAAGCCACAACAAAAATAGAAATTTTTTCCTTCGTGAAAAATTTTGTTTTTTATATCTAATGATTGGAAGGCCAATCACATACAACATAAATGAATTACAGAAATACTTAGTTTAAACGATGCACATTTGCTGACAAAGTGAATCAAACCATTAATTACTGTCATGAATTAAATGAAATCGTTCGGGCAGAAGGAAACCGATATCGATCTGATAGGAACACGAAAGGACTCACCAGAAATACAAGGCTCACAGCTACCAGGGCGTACTTGGCGAAGTTGTAGCAAAACACTGCCATTTTTCCGGATTGTACGAATCGAAAAATTGCAGAAAAGTAGTCGCGAGATTACGCGACGCGTCTACGCGGTCGCGTGGTTTCTATGCTTCAACACGCGCGCTGTTCCGATACTGAATGCCAGATTGTGCTCCGAGATTCGGAATAACACTCTCCGCCTTGGCTTTGTGTTCTAACAGATGCGCTACGATAAACGTTGTCCGCTTCACGACCCAACACCGATTCGACAGCAGAGCACGACGCTCTTGTGTAAATAATCATACGGTTTCGTGCAGAGAGAAGTCACGACACTCCATATAACACGAGTCCGCCAGTCTACGAGAGATCACAAGCAGACGGTAAATAGCTAGCAACTATCGGACGCACTGAGTATGTGTTGCCGTGGACAAAAATATTGCCGCGCGTTGCTGTTCGATGAGTTTCAGAACGCAGATACACTGTGAAGTTGCGCCCAGAACGTTCTGAAAGATATTTTACTGTCATCTAGCGACGACGCTTCGTAATCATAATGGACCAAATGATATGAATTTTGATTAAAATGGTTTGAATCTTAGCTAAAATTTTTTTTATTTATTATATCTAAATTATTTTAACCAAATGACTTGAGTCTGGGGCTAAAATTTTATCTAATTATTTTATCCAAGATTTTTGTTTTACAATTGACTACCGAGTCTAGACATTAGGTCTGTTCTTTATTGCTGAACCGGCTGCATTAGTTCGGAGTTTTGGCCGGAGCACAGACTTTTGCATAAAGCATAACGCATAAGCATAAGGAAATTGATTGGT